ACCACTCCCAGAGCATACCGATCGGAGTACTGACCGCTGTAAGCGGGATATCACTAGCTCGCATGAGCAGTCGGTAATATCCATCGACTAAGTCGAGGGCACTGTACATCATTCTTCCCACCATATTGTTCTGAAGAACATCCTTGCGATGAATCGGTGTTTGAGCCGGGATAGGGGCTGCATTCAGCTTATTGTAAGCATGCACTATCCGCCACTTCCCATAAGGCTTCCTCAAACAAAACGTGGGCGTAGAGTGAGGAGACTTACTCTCACGCACCATGCCAGTCGCCTGCTTTGCACGAAAGAACTCGTCAATGGCGTCACATTGTTCTCGTGGCAGCGGCCATTGTTGCGTCACACAGTATTTGGCTTCTGGAACCAAGTCAATCTCATGACGTACACCTCTATCCGGAGGTAACCTCTTCGGAGGTTCTCTGGATACAACATCTCCATATTTCATCAGTAAAGGAAAAAAGGTCTGAAAGGTCCTTCAGGATCTGCGATCCACTACGCGCTCTCAACGCCTAATTGGTATCTTCAAGAACTGCTTTATCCAAAATCAATAAAGATTTTAACTCCTCCTTAGGTCGTATAACGACCACTTCGGCGATGTCGCCTGCCTTTAAGGCAATGCCAAACTCGGCAAAAGGACAACTCGTCCAGCTCTAACATAGCACTTACTACGAGTATAGCTGAGAGAGCCACCGGCTCTTCAACATCCCCAGTCAAACCATTGAAGAGTGTATATAGCTGTTTGCTATCACCGTCACTCACGATATCATCATCGCTACTCATGATGCTTTCAGCATCCAACGCATCAGCGTCCACAGGTGTACACACCTCAAGGTCAAAGACCACTTCGTTTACTGACTGCACCCCACCCTCTTGGGTCAATACCTCGTCATGAGGTGCTCGCACCTCGTTGTCCTTAAAAACAACCGTCATTTTTGACTTCACCCGACCCTCTTGGGCCAGTACCTCGTCACTAGGTGCTTGCACCTCGTTATCCTCAAATACAACATCCATTTGTGACTTCACTCGGCCCTCCAGGGTCAGTTCCTCGTCACTCATGTCACTTGTACTCATGACATCTTGGCTTGCAGCCACCAACACCACTCACGGTGTTTAATGATGTAGCATCATTCTCATGACACATGTCAGATGTGCCATCTAGTGGGTTCTTAACCACATTATCGACATTGGGCCTCTCCCAAGACAATTGTCCTCGACACTTACAGTGTCTACAGAGTCGGATATTCCGACATCCAACATATTGATCGAATTGGTCCAATATCCGCGCCAAAAGCGCTTTTTCTTCCTAGCAGAGGTGAGTTCATGACTCTCCAGTGGTCCACCAGGAGCATTGCACGTTGCGCCTAAGGTCTTCGACCTCCAATCAATCCATGGCTCACGGCGTTCTGGCCATGCCATGCCATGCCTAGTATGAGGTCATACCTCGCATCCAGGTCCAAGACCAGACAGCGTTCCATGCTGTTAAAGTCTAAGAGCATTACATTTAAATCCATAGGGACTTCGAATATTGTAACACGCGCACCCGTCGCTAAGCGAACTATGACTGTGTCGCTTTCACGCGCTACAAGCGCTTCAGCATACTGCTGACTACCTTCCACGGTGGCACGGCGCACATAATTGCCAGATGCCCCCGAATCGATCAAAATGATCCATGGTTTATCATAGCCCTTAATTGTCCCTTCGACGACTAGCAAGCTTGGCTTACATTCTCGTTCTGTTTTTGAGAGTTCGAATCTCTTTGGGGCTGGGATCTGTTTACTTCTACCTCCTAGAGGTTCAACAGAACTCAGTGTTTCCCCAGTAGGGCACCCCTCGCCTACTGGGTTCCGTCGTTTCCCCGCGGCAAACAAGAGGGTTTTTACATGAGGCGTCGGCCCTTCAAGGCAAAATATGCCTTTCTTGCAGGGAATTTTGCCATCAAATGGCCTGTGCTCTTGCAGATATAACATCTGCGCACAATTTGCTACTCCGCAGCTTGAAGCTCGGCTTCTTCATCCTCCACTTGACTACAGTTCATGGGTACAGACATACCCATCAGACGAGTAGTTATAAGTGGCAGGCGTAGCGGTCTTAAAGTTGGTCTCAGCATTCCATACCACTTCAACAGCTTCCTCGAACAAGGACGGGCTCACCCGGAAGACTTCCGTTCTGGCAACGCCAACTCGGAGGCCCTCCATGACGACCGTGACGGTCACTGCCTCAGGCATAGGGTCTATGTCTATGGCGGCAATAAGAGTTCTCAGCTCTTGCACTTGTGCCGCAAGCTCACGCTTACCTTGGCGACATCCCAAAAATCGCGACCGATTACGGTGTGCTTGGTTTGGCGCTGCATAACGCCGGATCATCTGAACTTTATGATCGGCCCATATTGGGAAGCATCTTGCAATGATGCACCGCATGTGAGCGCTTTTTGTTTGTATAAGCCACCCAAGTTACCCGTGGCAAATCCAACACGGTACGGTTCATAGGTGATGTCGGCTATGAACATAGCCGACCCAACCTGTCGGAACCACAGCATAAGGTTGTCACCTTCTTTGCCGTCGAGCTTGTCCACTTCAAAATGTATGAGTTTCGTCAGCGGACCACTTTTGCGCCATAATCGCCATTTGAGAAGGCGTTGAGAAAGATGTCTGTGCCTTTAAATGCTTGACTAGAGCTTTATTATATTCATCAAGCTTATGAATACGCTTGCTAACCTCTTCTTCACCTTGGGCAATGAGGTATTCCACGCCCTTACGGCCAAGGATAGGTGGCAGCTTCTGCAACCCTTCCAGTTGTGCTTGTGGCAGGCCAACCGCTGACATCTCATCGATGTCCATTCTCACACAGAGAAGTAGTCGCAAACCCAGGTGCGGGATTGACTGAAAGTGCTGACATCTCATCGTTGTCCATTCAAAGAAGTAGTCGCAAACCCAGGTGCGGGATTGACTACAAGTGCTACCAGGTGTAGCCGAGCTACTGTAGCCACGCTACTTGTGCACTATGTGCAGAAGAATTAGTCAGACTACTGTAGCAAAGCTACGTATGCACTAAGTGCAGAGGAAGACAAGGTCAAAGAGCTTATACGTCTTAGGGTGTTTAACCCTCCTAAGCTAGCTTAACAAGCTTGTCCCTTTTTGGTCGTTACAACCACGTTTCCAATCGACCAGCATACAAGATACACTCCTTTATACAAGGACTAAGAATCTAGCAACGAATGCTATACAGGGCAGGTTTCGAACCGATTTTTAATGTTTATCTTCGAGCACTACATATTGTTAAGCTACTTTTAAAACGGCAGAGTGTATGATGAGACACGTAAAGCCAATAGTAGTAAAGTACTCCGCAATAGGTTACAAAGAGTTGTGTATTGTACATATACACCTGTACAAGATTGTAATACGCAATATCGTACAACATTTGTAGCAATGTGGTCCTCCTTAAACATAAGACGTCTGTCACAGAGGATGAAAGATATTTGATCTCAGGTATGGAAGATCCAAATCTATGTTTGTTTTCATATCTTACAAGTGAATTGTTCTATTAACCCATTGTTTAAGTGTGATATATCAGGATGTCATCTCTCGATTTGGAGCTGTTAAAAACAATTGGCTTGCAAGATTCACTCTGAACTAGATATAGCAAGTTTGTTTCTTCGTTTACGTGTACTTAGGTACTAAATAAGTGAGTTGTCATGACCTTAACTACTTCTGTATCTGTTATCGCTGCACTAATTGCAGCCATTCCGAAGATAGCGCTCGCTTAATGCTCAAGTTGGTCATCACTGTATATGAAATACCTTGATGGTGTCTGTGTCTGCAATGAAACTAATTGCGACTGAATAACAAATGATTATATAAGGCTTAAAAAGGGACAGGTTGGTATCTTCACGACGTCTCAAGCCGGAGCACGACTTCAATACACAAAGAAAAAGATTCATGCACATCCCGTGCGCAGCACCACCTTTGACGTTAATGTTTCAACGCAATATCAAAGTATCATCGGTTTTGGTGGCGCGTTTACAGATGCGGCTGCTATCAATGTCTACAAGCTATCGTTGAAGCTGCAGAAAACTCTCCTAGATCAGTATTTCTCGGACCATGGTCTACAATAGAGCCTCGGTCGTGTTCCAATTGGATCGAATGATTCCTCAACAAGGGTTTACTCGTACAACGATCTGGAGGGTAATCGTGCTATGGAGAATTTCTCGCTTGATGTGGATAAGGGCCCGAACTCACACAAGATTGAGTTAATTCAACGCGTGTTAAACATGACTTCACGTAGCATCAAATTATTTGCATCGTCGTGGGCTCCCCCCGCATGGATGACAAAACAAAACACCACGATCAATTGCCACCTGAAGGGTAAACCCGGCGATAAGAACTGAAAAGCGTTGGCTTTGTATTACTTCAAGTTTTTCGACGCGTATGAGAAAGAAGGGATCAACTTTTGGGCAATGACTGTGCGGAATGAGCCGAAGAGACAGATGCTATCATTTAACAAGTGGCAAACCTTACGAATTACCCCAGAAGAAGAAAGAGATTTTATTAAGTTTGACCTGGGTCCAACGATGGCGAAGAATTATCCCGACATCAAAAATATAGCAAACGATGACCAAAAGCCAAGCTTATTGACTCGCATAGCGCCACTCCAAGATATCGACTCACTTCAGTATATTAGTGGGGTCGCCGTCCACGGTATCACAACGTGGATTTCATCTTTGGTATGGATGGTGACTTTGGCAAACTGAAGGAGTTTCAGGATCCTTTTCGATTCTCTTCATTCTACCTACCGAAGCATGTGAAGGGTACTTGCTCAATCCATTGGGTACAGGCAGAGGACCCAAGCTTACAAATGCTGACAAAATCTGGACTCGCGGGGAGAACTATGGTCGCGATATTATCGGTGACCTGAACAATTATGCAGCAGGTTGGACAGACTGAAATTTGGTGTTAGAGATAAATGGAGGTCCGAACTGGGCGGAGAACATGGTGGATGCGCCAATTCTTGTCGATGCCTCGAACGGAGCTGAGTTCTACAAGCAACCAATCTACTATTTCTTGGGGCACTTTTCCAAGTTTGTGCCAGCAGGTTCGCAACGCATTAAATTGTCCTTAGCTGCACACGCGAAGAGTAAGTTGCAGAGCTGCGCGCTCGTCACTCCAGAAAATTAGGTCGTTATCCAGTTTCTAAATATCTTTGGGGCTGAAGAGTCTGTGCATGTGAAGCAAGCCAGATGCACAGACATTCTTAGTCGTTGTGCCGTTGCACTCTATAGTGACAGTCATCTTGCCACGGTCTACAAACACAACTGTCCTGAAATAATCCTAGCTATCAATGAGATTGATAACATGAGGAATCAAATCGCAGTCTACACATTTTTTAAAACCTGCGCGTAAGATTGAAGTCAATGCGTCAGCGCCGGGGTTTATCGTAAGCTTGAATGCTTTTCGCCTTGGGACAAAGTGTTTGATACAGGTACAACTGCTTAGCCTTGTAGTCGTGCACCATTGAGACTTTCGTGTCATTTTAGGCGATAAGTATTGAGGAGCAATCTATTTTATCTGTTGTGAGCTATCATGCACGTAGGCGAGATACGCAAATGGCCTTGAGTGCGATGAGGTAATTCATGTTCCTATGCACACTATTAGCAAAGAGGGGAGGCTGAAGCAACTTATGCTCTCTGGATTTTTGGACCCACGTGCAGGCTCGATCAATGCTGCAGCTCCGGCCGATTTTCAGGCCCAGAGATCTGTTTGACTGCTTCGCGCTCTAAAACTCGCGAGCCAATACCGAACTTTGCAACAATGTCTGGTCAAAGTTAGCCGTGTGGAATGAGAATAGACTCAAGGCGCGCTTGCGCCTAGGTACTTCGTCGTCACAATTGCGGTACTGATATGTTAGATCGGGCGTCGCTGAAAAGCGTCGGTACTCCAGTCCTTCGCTAACGTCGCTATTGTTATTCTCTGGCAGCGCAGTGCGATTTATGGCCAATGAACACAGACTGCAAATTGTAAGCTTCATCTTGCCCACCACTGGAATGTCTGCATTAATAGTGAGCTTGCATCGACCGCAGATGACCTGCAAACAAAAGGACGCGACAGAAACATAGTCATATCATCAGTGCGCCGTATTAACACACTCTCACCTACCAGCACCACGAAGTAGACAACGGACAACAAGCTTGTAAAACAAGGTTACCCTCTATGTCTACTTGATCCGTTGTCTAGACTCCGCAGACGCCGTTTTTCGAATATTTCGCACCTCACCACACTTCTGGCAGTTGTACCTCCTCTTAAAGGTGCCAATATCATCCACGCACACAAAGCACGTCTTGACTTTGCCTGGCGTCATCAATTGGCTTCGACGTGCAAATGTTTGATTCGCCATACGCTTCATATCAAGGTATCTTTTTAAATACTCCAAGCTCATGAGTCGTCGTTTCAGTCCCTTGGCTGCCACCCATTGTGGCACATTGCCCTTGAGATCTGCATACACAGCTTGTACAATATCCAGTGTCTTCCGGTCGTGTTTGTTCTCAACAAACACAGAACCCGAACGGTACAAACTACCTCGGACGAACCCGTGCGATTTTTCCATGTTTGGACAACTCTTAATCTTAACGGAATGTAGACAGCGAGCAAAGCCTTGACGGCCGTCGGGTAGAGTAAAACGGCGTTGGATTTCCAGGTAGCAATAGTCTCGATTGCGTACCATGATATAGGGAGATCGTACAGCTGACCAGCGAATTCCAATAAACACTGTACTATTTTCCGGTTGATACTGCTGGATCTCATAGAGTACAACTGAATGTAGAATATCAGGAGATAATTTCTTTTCCAATTGTATGTTAGGCTGAGCTATATCAACGTCATAAAGATCCATGATCTCTTCGACACTAGCTTCAACTTGAGTAATTCCTCGAAAGTAGTACACTCCATTTCCACTCTTTGTTTTCGTACCAGATTTAATTTGAACCTTTTCAACACGTATACTATTGATTTGCTCTGTATATTCCCATTGTAGACCTTCTTGAAATTCATCATGATCCATATCGCTCTCAAAACTTGAGCCAGTACTTTCAATACTGGTTTTAAATGCCTCACCAGCAGAATAATAGAGCAACTCATCACATGCACGGTTCGCCTCGTGTGTAATTTGCTCCTTGCGAGTTTCTGATAGAGGTGGACAATGAAATTTTTTCCATTTAGGCTGTTTAGACTTCATTCAGATTGGCAACAAGTCAATAAGTGATGAGTGATACTTCAGTGTTTCGGTCTCGACAGATGTTTATGAATTGCTTTGTATGATAAGAACTGATTTTTCACTGCATTTTAATATGAAAGTAAACAAAGAGGCAACCCGACTAAAAGTAACATTAACTAATTACACAATATGGTACTTGGTGTATGTATAAACAAGGCACATGCAGAAGGAATTAAAGGATTTGCTGTTTTGCGCGACTTTATTTCGTGAAGTTACTTCACACACCAAACAATAAAGCCAGCCACAGACTTTTCTTGTGAATCGACTATGTACATGCTCACCCCGAAATGTTGTCAATGTGTTTTCTAGGACAATCTAGTCGTCAGTCCATCGTTAGCAAACTTCACATTCAATATGCCAAAGCAAGATTGATGACCCACTTTCAAGACGGATCGCCGCACTTGCAAAATGTGTTAACTGCTTTGTCCTTAACGCCAAGAAAAGTACTGAAGCTTATAATAACTTTGGTGCTGACGCTTTAACTTTGACCTTTCGACTCTTACAATAGACTTGAAGGTGCGTTACCATTATGCAAAAGCAATGAATTGTTTATGAACGCATTGCCAAACCCGCTGGTAGAAAAATCACGACACCTTGATCAAAGAGGCCGATGGTTGCAACGACGCTTCGATACGAAGGTGAGCACACCGAGGTTAGCTCCACTGAAAAATAACCTGGCATGGACTCCACATCACTCAGAAACGTGTACTTTGAGATCTTGGGATGACAAACAAGTAATTATTTTGGTCCTCCTTGCCTAAAGTATTAATACAATGCGCATCTGATGCTATCAGTTGTTTAAGCGGAATGATGTAGAATTTGTGATAGTAGCTAATGCGATGGCAAGCAGCCATTTTGTAGTCGTAACACCATTAGCATGAAGCACAAAAACCATCATGCTTTCGTGATATATATTCGGAGCGGCTAGAATAAGCAGATGTTTGACGCTGACTCTAGTAAGTAGTGCTGGAACAGTACTACTTCAAGACGGCTTTGTAATATGCAGTGGGGCCACGTTTCCATCGGCTCAATAGACCAAGCGTCTACTCTAACAGAACAAGATGAGATGAAGCATTATTCTATGACACGTCTTTGTCTTATCATTAGCTTTCTTTAGTTAACGCCCACTATAAGCTCACTACGTGATTCTTCAGCTGTCCACCTCTTTTGGTGGATAACGACGTGAACAAACGACCACAAAGAGCACCCTAACAAAAAGTACTGGATGGCGCTGTGCTTGACGCTTTTCATCCATTTTAATATGAAAGATGATTTGATTATAGTATACTTTATAAAGTCCGACACTGTAAAAAGTGATCTCAAAAAGACGCATTTGACTACGAAATGACGCAACACAGCATCGCTCGCGTCTACGGCATTATGCAAGAGTTGCAGCAAATGCGCGAGAAAACTTGCAAGCTATCGGCAAAGAATTCTGAGCTAGCAAAAGCGCTGGTAAGTTGCCATCAAGCAACGCCGATTACGTCTTCTTACATTTGCTTGGTGTTTTGTGGCAGACTACGACCAAACAGGAGCTTACAAAAGGTCAGCACTATCTGCGTCACGTTTGTGTACTGACAGTATGTATGCTAACCTCAAATTTCTCTGCAGCTCGGGAAGCACAGAGTGCTGTGTTTACGAATAAAGGTTTGCCCTGATCGCGTTAGGCTCGGCACCTAAATGCCGTGTTCTTGAATGTTTGAATGTTTTGTACCTTAGTTCTGGAGTGGATGGAGGCACGACACAGACCTGTGGAAGGTAAGATATAGATTGCAACAAAGAGAGCGTTAATGTGGCTTATACGTCTTTTTTGCAGTGCAACATCAAGCTATTCAATGCAGTTTCGAGGAATATGATCGAATACACCTTCACACGTATGCATCCAAAATGAACGCGCAGCTTGAGCGGGACCCACCACTACCGCCCTGTCATAGTAGCGGTCAAATGCAGAACCTTTGTGTGGTAATGCCGAGCACGCTTTTTTATTGTTCACAACTGATGACGCTGACACTTTATTACATGGGTTTACGATTAGCGTTCGTCTTCTGCTGTCAAATCTATGATGCTTCAGGTAGATTCCATTGAGTTTGAAAAGAACCAAGCTACAGACACAGTTGACTGTTTTGTAAGCTGTGGTTGCTTCGATTGCTCTGGTGTGATACTTATGTGTTTGTTGTTCAACGATGCTTTCCAGACTGAAGACGGTAAAAACGTGGCGGGAAGCGAGACGAAGGACAACGGTATAATGCCTGAGCTTATTGCAGACTCTAGATATAGCACTGTTGACGATGTTGACATTTCTTGGATTGATGATTAAGGCAAGCAACTTCGACGCACCCTTTCGTCGTCTCCTGGTGACTTGATGCAAACAAATACGCAGGTACGCTCTTTTTTTGTGATAGTGATAGCTTGTTCGGTGAACAAACTCACTTGTTGTGTGCTTATACAGGCTGGTGTAGTGAAGCGATTGCGCCAGCGGGATGCTAGTGTGTCGTACGTCGAGCCTAAGTTGAATACGAAACTACGGCGGGTTTGTTTCTAGCACAATTGTCCAATGCTTGACTTCTTCTCGAACATTAACCCGTTTGGTGCGCGCCAGGGTGATTATTATGGCTTAGGCAAGCGGACAAACCAAACAAAACACACTCGACGTATAGCGAAACGCCGCGTGGTGTCCGGGTTACGCCGTACAAATGCGGGCTTCGGCCAGCAATTTAGCCCCTTTCGTAGCCGTACAACCGGGAGATCCGTTCAGCGTATCTCGTATGCAGAGCCTAAGCTCAACACTAAGCTTCGCCAGGTATGAAATGATATTGCATCGTATCGAACGACTGAATCTAAATCACGCGTCGTGTTGGCACTTTGATAGGGCGACAAGTTTACTTTTACAACGTGACATCGTTGCTTGGAGACGTTCATGTTTAAGCTGAACCACATAATAATCAAATCATTGTGCATTAGCGTGCAAATATCTCGTTACTGATTGGCGAAGCGTCAACTTTGTAGCTAAAAAGACGAGAGAATATGACTTCTACAACGACTCAACATACGCCTTAGCAAAGAAACATCTCGATTAGAACACAACACAACACCACAACAAAACAAAAAGCAGCAACAATCACCAACACATTTGTTTCTTTGTCTTGTCTCCCTTGACGTATAACGATAAAAGGGCATATGGGGTGCGCAAATTCCAAGCTAGTAAGTATTTTGACACGTCTTATCTGATACCACTGCCGTAATAACCATTTCTTTCCTGCAGGATGTGGTAAATGGGAATGCGCATGTGGACAATAATGGCGAGAAACAGACGACGGTGAACGGTAAATCCGCGCCGGCTGCTGTAGATTTTAATAGCTTTGAAGAGCAATATACTCTCGGCAAAGTTATTGGGTCTGGTACATTCTCCGTTGTGCGCATTGCCGTCCACAAGCCAACAAATCAACGCTACGCCATCAAGTGCATTAAACGTGATGGCCTCGTTGCGGAGGATATTGAGGCTTTGACGACAGAAGTTGCTATCTTGAAACAGGTAAATTGCTGCAGTCTTTTATGTTTTGGAATTTAAAGTGGTGGTAAAACGCTGACTTGAGTTTGCTTTCAAACGCAGATCAACCATCCAAACATAATGATTCTACATGATTTTTTCGTCGAGGACGAATTCTATTACCTTGTGACAGAGTTCATGGAGGGTGGCGAGCTATTTGATCGAATTGTTGAGAAGGTTGATTGTTGAGTTTACAACAATCTCGACTGTTTGTGAAATTGTTTACTGAACGGCTACCTGTTGTGTTTTTCTTAGTCATACTACAACGAGAGAGAAGCACGCGATCTAATGAAGCTACTTATGGAGGCAATTAAGTACTGTCATGATGCCAATATCGTGCATCGTGACTTGAAGCCGGAAAATCTCTTGCTAACCAGCAAGGATGATGATGCATCCATTAAACTGGCTGACTTTGGTTTTGCAAAGAGAATTGAGTTTGACAGCGAGGGTCTCGTCACAGCTTGCGGTACACCTGGATATGTCGCGCCGGAGATTCTAGAAGGTAAGCCTTATGGCAAGACGGTAGACATATGGAGTATCGGCGTCATCACGTACATTTTGTTGTGTGGTTATCCACCATTTCACGATGACAACCACAATTCTCTATTTAAGAAGATTAAGAACGGTAAGTTCCAGTTTGACTCGCCGTATTGGGACCACGTATCAGACGATGCGAAGGATCTCATCTCACAAATGCTTGTCGTGGATCCAGAAAAACGGTGCGTTTAGATGATTAACTGTTTGTTCTTTTGCATGAAATTGACCATATTTTGTCCACATTTGATCTGTAGCGCAACGATAGACCAGCTACTTGCACATCGATGGGTTACGGGCACAGAAGTGGCGACAGTGCAGCTCACAAGCGCTTTGGAGGAGCTGCGCCGCTTTAACGCACGCAGGAAGTTCAAGGCCGCTGTTAGTACTGTTTCTACATCTGTCGGGTTCAGCAAGAAGTACAGCAAGTTAGATAGTCGCATGCAGTTGACTCTAAACCAGGCCCCAAATGTCGTCAACCTTGGAAGTGTGTCTGAGACGTTACCAGACACGGTCGATCTTGACAAAGCTATTTAGTGGACCACATCAATAGCTACGGACTTGATCATGATCATGATCGATTGTTTCATCCAATCAATGGATCAACAAGTCAATTTTTGATCAATGAAATGAGGTGGTGTCAAGGCCCGCAAGCGCAAGATCGTACGCTACTTTGCACCATTTGAACAATGAAGCACTAGCAATACAGGAATGTCGCTATTTTGTACTTAAGTTGACGCGCATGATTTTAATATTCATATTGCCGTCCTGCATCGTTTTGTGCACGCACCACTGGTTCATACATACGCTTGTATTCCTAGTGGTAGTTTAGAGTTTAATGGAGTTGGCGTTGGTAAAAACATTGATATATAGTCCAGTGATGTCAATGCTGTTGTATAGTACCGTTATTTAGTGTTATTATGGCCTAAAGGACTAAAAATGCGTTGGGCCTACTGGAAAGGGGTGATTGCTTTATAGACGAGAAGCAGAACTGCAACAATTGAGATGTAATGTTTCTGGTCTTGTCATGAGGTGGAGCTTATTGGCTAGGTGGAATACCAATATAAATTTAGGATCCTGGGTTACGACGCTCGCAAGATTAAAGAATTGGTGATGGTCATCGTCCACGGTCACTGAACGCAGACGAAATCAAACATCATTTTTGCAACAAATGTATCCTCTGCTGCTGCCATTTGTGCTAGCATATGTGGCGTTTCTCGCGTTTCTTGTGCAAACCAAGCATGAGAAGGTCGTGCTGCATACTTGGACTTTCTACTTGCTGTCAATTGGCACCGGGCTTGTCGTGCTGCGCTACTTTGAGCTGTATCTTGTCGATTTACCTCAAGTGCTGGCGTTTCGTGAGCATCCAGAGGTGATGCAATTACGCATTGGCATTCTGTTCAATTGACGCATGTGATGGGCTAACTTTCGTCCCTGTTTGTCATGCTTAGTTTGTAACGGAGGGGCTCTTATCTTGCTGAAACCATTCCAGTTGCACGCGCAATATCTTCCTACACGGCAGCTGGACGTGGCCACATCGTTCAAGTTATGTAGGAAGCTAACGGTGTTGACAGTTAATGCACAATTAGTATTATCATTATCATTATAATTGACTGGCATTCTTACCTAAAGTCAATGCAAATGCAGACACGTTTGACCCTGCAGTATTTGCTTGTTATTGTCCTATTCATTAAAACCAGTCCAGTTTTCTAGTATTTTGTCAATGCAATGCTATCATCAGTGGTTCGGCAGCTCCCGTACGAAGCGCTTGATCCAGAATGGGAAGCACACGAGTTTCAAAAATTCCGGACAATTACTGGCACCTCTCAGCAGCAGGTTCCATATGGCGCGTATTTGTTTGGCAGGCTGCTGCAGTCGGATCTGCACCAAAGTTGTCGACCGGCATTGCCCCCGGACATCCATAAACTCAATGGCTTTACCATCGAAGGCATGTGTATCTTACAGGTAGTGGACGTAGCAAATATTGGTGCCAATAGCGAACATCGTACGGAGTTTTCGCCTGCTGGACCAACACGCACACTAAAACTGGGCCTTACAGACGGGCATCAATTAGTGTTTGGCTTTGAATTCTCTTCGCTGCCGCAGTTTAGTGTTAACATACGACGTGGTACCAAACTTGTCGTGGAGAATGTACCTGTAAGGCATGGACTACTCCTGTTGGCACCCGACAATTGTCAGCTATTAGAGGTATCGTTCGACCATTCGCGGCGCGGTAATGGACATGTTCAACAACAAGCAGAATCAGAGGAAGTGGATGCTGGAGTGTACTCTGCAGCCCTTGTGACTTCGCAATTTCACATTTCACAACACCAAATGCCCCCAAGTCCACGAGCAAGTACGCAACAGGCTGCTAAATTGCCGGTCACGACGACTAGAGCACCCGACAGTACTTCTCGGGCACAAATGGAAATCACAAATGTAACTACACCGTCAGGGCTAGCACCTTTGCGTCACATGAACACGAGTAAGAGCAACGTAGCTGCCAGCACTGTACCTAGTGCTTCCGATCCCCCCGTATTTGTAGATGAACATCTATCAGATGAAGATATGGATAGCGATACTACCGACCCAATGGTACAACATCTTTTCTACAGCCCAAAGACTCTTCGGCAGCTTGATATAAAGACTGCACAAGTTGATAGTGGGAAGGTTTCCACCACAAAACGGCCTCGGTCGCCGTCATTGGAGCAAGAAGTGAAAGCTGGACCTCCTTTACAGCAAAATTCAACTCGATGTATCGGCGCAACGGGTGGTGTGTTTGCACATGATATGAGCTTTTCCCTGTTGGATCGAGCTACAACAACAGCTACCACATGTGCACCGCTGGATCCAGCGCAACCATTTCAGTATTTTAAAGCAAGACTGTCCACGCTATCCAAACAATCAACATCATTTCAAATTCGCGCGTGCATTAAGTCTGTCGTGGGGTTTCAATTCAACACTGGCCGATACCAGCTACGAGTTCTGGTGGAGGATTGCACTGAAACGAATGAAGCGGACGTGGCCGAAGACTTTGTAACGCGACTCATGGGTGTATCCTGCTCTGAATTCCTGCAAACCATGCAAACAAAGATGCAAGTTGCGCACGGATGGGCGGCGACAATGCAGTTCGCACTCATGAACCTCGAAGGAGTCATGACGTTTGAGTCTAGGGAAGCAACACCAACGCTGAAAACATCGCCGCTATTGCTACTCAATTGTCGCGATTTCCAGGTGGCTGATACTCGCCAGCTGCTGCAGCGAGTAAAAGCTTCGCAGACTAATGCACCTCGATTATGAGGTCTATTATATGTTTAAGCACTAAGCATTGCTTTACGTACGAGCAAATCAGTTTACAGTGTTTCTTTGCATGCCAGCTGAAAGAATATGTTTACATCCTCCGTTGCGTTATCTCCAACGGATAGATCACGCGGGATACCAATCAAAACATAATTTTTGGGAGTGGCTGTCGGCGGGTGCATGATAAACATGAATGTATCGAACTGGGCTTCCTCGGCTAACATATTGCGATCACTCTCAAGAAAGGTCTTGCAACGTCGGCGTCTGCGGTTGATATCCGTCTGTGCTACGGCAGCAATGCTCCAATGCCCAAAGTCAGCAGCTTTCGCCAGTACTTCATACTCAGCGCGTGAGAGATGAGCAGAAAGTGTAGCAGAACGAGGGTAGACCAACTTGCTTGATTTAATCTTGCCGACGCAACATGGGGCCAGCACGTACGCAGCCCGCTCCACGAGACATTTCTGCATCACCATGTCGGTGGCCTCACCACAAGCGTGCAGGGCAATGCCCACGTCAAAAGGTTTGAAGTAGTCGTTAACAAACCCACAGGAAATCTCCACGTTTGTCAAGTGGGCGGCAGCAATCCGTTTCTTGGCTGCGAAGTAGAGAACTCAGCACACATCAGTTTCTTCCGCACAGCAACAAAACTCAGCTTCGAGTTGAATTGCTTCGTCATACCGATAGCAAGAGAATGCTCTTTCTTCTCAAGTAGAACGAATGTACACTGTGGAAAAAGACAAGCAAGCGGCAGTGCCACGTATCCAGAACCTGCACAAAACTCAACAATCACATCGCCTGGTCTATATGAATGTAAGATGAACGTTGCCCAAGTGTCAGCCCTCTACATACTATCACAAGAGTTTCAGTGACGCACCTCAGTATGGTTTGTAGAAAGACTGCTAGATTGTCCACTTGTTGCCGCTTGTTTCTTGCTCGCTCTATCGGTAGTTTGCCATTGCGTGGGAGAATTCCGTCGGGTAGGTCATCCCAAGGAATCCCCTTTGCTATCTCATTTGGAGACGCTTTTGATGTGTGCAAACATCTAAGTGGATTGCAGTGGTATTTGGTCGAATTGCGGCTAAATGAAGTGCTTTCGACACACTCGAGCAGTTCTTCGAACCAAAGCTGCGAGTTCTTGGGCTTCCGCAGAGCCTTTTTGCGCAGTTTGCAAAAGCTTCGCTGTTTTTTCGATGATATTGCGCAATCCACAGCTGTAGAAGCAACCGAAGCAACAGAATCATCAATGATGCCATTCAGAGACGTCCATCTGACGTCATCCCATGTACCCCATGTTAATGTTGGTAGGACACTGTTCATGATTGTGCTAGGTCACCAGGATTAGGCGCTAGTAGGTAGTACCCAAAATTAGTGACTTAGGAATGATTATTTTGGGTGCTCGAAGCAACCAATAATTGGTGTTACATGAAATTAATTTGATCCAGTACATTTTTAGTAATCGCTTAACTTGGTCTGCAAAGCGTTCAAACGGCCTTTGTTTCAATACGAATGATCACAATGAAGAGATGACTTTACAATGAGTCGCAACAATGAGTCGCATTTACAGGTATCATAACGACAAATCTATTATATCACTAGAAAGAATGAGTATGTTCTTGTTCTCAAAAAGATCGAATTTAAGCTTAAATAATCTAACCGATTCGGCTCCGTATATTGCGTGTTTGAGTGCGTCAGCGTGTTTAATTCGATTGGGTCATACGTATGCGAAGCACCCTGCGTCTACGCTTCGTGTAAATGCATTTGCATGTATTCCTATAGTATCTGTGATCACTAGATACTGATAAGCAAGAGGATTGAAATGGGTGTGCTTAGCTAAGCAAATAAGGTGGTAAATCCATCGTAAGCTGATTATTTCAGACGAAATGCCTCGAGGTCTGTGAGCATGTGAGTTGGCTCGTAGCACGTATTTAATTGGCTAAGATCTAACCATGTAGCATAGCGATTGGCTAGAAACTTGATGCGTTAGGTCCACCAGCAAGGTAATGGCTTAAGGTTTTTTACTTCTGGGTTCTATCTAATTCCCGAGGTTTTTAATCACAAGAAATCAGCGCAATACCAGTCATTCTACAATTTGCTTGACGGCGTTTACATTCATTCTGCTTGAACCACCTTTTTTTTCACTTGTCACAAAATGACACAGACGACTTCTACCTCAAAAGACCGGACTTTTCTATTTACGTCGGAGTCTGTGAATGAGGGCCACCCTGATAAACTTTGTGATCAGATTTCGGATGCTGTACTAGATGCCTGTGTGTCAGAGGATCCGAATTCTCGCGTAGCTTGCGAGACATGTGCCAAGACGGGTATGGTGATGATATTTGGTGAGATTAGTACAAAAGCAATTGTCAATTATGAAAAAGTCATTCGTGATACAATTAAAGAGATTGGATACGACGATCCTGCAAAAGGTCTTGACTATAAGACGGTTAATGTTATTGTTGCCATTGAACAACAGTCACCTGACATTGCTCAGTCAGTTGACTCTGTTACGGATGAAGATGTTGGCGCTGGCGACCAGGGCATCATGTTTGGCTACGCTTCAGACGAGACGCCAGAACTCATGCCTCTGTCGCACGTGCTTGCCACTAAATTAGGCTCTAAGCTTACGGATGTGCGCAAGAATGGTACCCTTGACTGGATTCGTCCTGATGGCAAGACCCAAGTGACGGTGGAGTACAAGCAGGAAGACGGTCGTATGGTCCCGCAGCGTGTGCACACGGTTGTTATTTCAACTCAGCATAACGATGATGTCACGAACGAGCAAATTGCTGCTGATCTTATGAAGCACGTGATTCAGACTGTTATTCCTGAAAAGTATCTGGATGATAAGACTGTATATCACCTGAATCCATCTGGACGCTTTGTGATTGGTGGTCCGCATGGTGATGCTGGTTTAACTGGCCGCAAGATTATCATTGACACCTACGGCGGCTGGGGTGCCCATGGTGGAGGTGCTTTTTCTGGCAAGGATACGACAAAGGTTGATCGCTCGGCTGCTTATGCTGCTCGTTGGGTTGCCAAGTCTGTGGTAGCCAAAGGCCTTGCCCACCGCCTCCTTGTGCAGCTTTCGTACGCGATTGGTGTACCTTACCCGCTGTCGATCCACGTTGACTCGTATGGCACGGTAAAGGAGGGTTTGTCAGACGGCGAACTGGTGGAGATCATTAAGAAGAACTTTGATCTACGTCCGGGAATGATCCAAAAGACGTTGCAGCTGAAGCGCCCTATCATGCAAAAGACTGCTGCTTATGGCCACTTCGGTCGCGAGGACGGGGACTTTACGTGGGAAACAGTGATGGAGCTCGAGCTGTAGAGTGTCGGGAGCAGGCAATATGCTTGCTATCAGCTGCATATTACTGCCTGCACTTAGTCGCTACGAGATCACTCCGCCGTCTACTTTCCAGCGATGGAGAGTGGGGTGCAATCGGCGCTGTCTGTCCCTGCGCATCCGCCTATAAGTGTGCACGTTTGACATTTTCTGTCTACCGTCCATTCTTTGAGTGGTTTATTTGTAGTGGATACGAACAGTTGCCCATTCCGCCATCACACGTTTAGCTTTGTCGACAGCTTAGGAATAGAGTTAACGACGAAATGATATAGGTCAGTGCTCTATGTTTTGTAGCGTCTCTATGAATGAACATATGCAGCGCAATAGAAGCTTTACTTGTCAAGTCTTTGTGGATGAATCACGTCAGTGAACACGTATCAAGTGCATCAGATTGTGATGTCAGAACTATGTGCATCTTATTGTAACACATTCCTCGCTTCTCTTTTCATGTTGCACCCATTCGCATGGTGAAAATAGTTTTCAGTATTTATAAACTATTCTCACCATGCGAATGGGTGATTTCAGTATCTATAAACTCAATAGACGACGCTGACGCATAGAGATGGCTGTCAAAGCAGCAAGTTTATCACTATAATCAAGCAAATGATTAAGCTCAACGCTGATCTAGTGATAGCTTACTTGATAACGCTCCTGTCATCAGCTTGGGCGATATTTAATCCGCTGCACTTCCATAATATGAACTCACTGTCGCTGCCACTTGTGCCCGGCCTGGATTGTTCCATTCATCTCGGTGGTAAGCCGCGGTTATGAGCGATCTACGATCTTGTGTGTGTATCGATCTAAAAAATGATATCTGTAGCTACAACACAGCATGACATACAAGGTGTCGACGATGCACATTAAGCAGCTGCCACAAAATACTCTCCTACTCATCGAGCTCTGCGGCTCGGCAATCAATCAGTAGAGTGTGCTATCTGCTAGGTAAACGCCTAGCAGCAGCTTGCACCTGATCGAGCGGAAGAGCCGTAAACAGAAAAAAATGTAGCATCTCCTCAAACGCGTTCAGCCTTTCGATGTCTCGTGTTCGTTCTCTTGATTCGCACAATGACTCATTGACACAATGATTCCACTGTCACCAACCCATGCCAGAGTGGTCTTGCGTCTGGCAACTTTGTCGCACGTGCAATGTAAGGCTGTCCGTCTCATGCGTTTTTGTTTTTCTTGACCAATAGTGGCGGCGTATGTAGCCACATGCGGTGACTATCAACAAGCCTCAGCTATTGTAAAATACTTACAATGGAAGAAGCTTAAAGTGTTAAGAGCTCAGCTCTTTCATAATACGTGCTTCTTGGCCATTTTAAACGCGACTTCAATGCAAAACTTCGCGCACAACAAGATGTCTCATACTAGTTGTTTCGATTTCGGCGCCACCTCGCGGTCCCGGCAAGCACGACACGTGCTTATCCCACTATATGACGATAGAGACAACCGCGACCGGCACGAGGAACAGTGTGATCGCAACGGTTCATGTACACGATAGCTCGCTCAATGTACAAAGTTAGCACATGTCTGAGTCTTCATCTTCCACCATCTCTAGTGAACTGGTCTCTCGAACATACCCATTTGCAGAATATCGCGACTGCGGAGACTTGCGCGAGCTTCGAGCTACTCTGCAATTCTCAGCAATCGTCTTGTTCTCAGCCATATTTGTCGCGACTGAAGCCAAATTTACCTGGTGTGTAGTACTCTGACGTCGATACTTGCGTCTAGATTTTTGGGCTGTGTCAGACCTGTGTGGCGTAAATCGACTGCTCTTCAGTTGCGTCTGACGAGGCTCACTCCTGCTTAATGTTGCATCATTCGCATCTTCTGAGTTATTCGCTACGCTTGCCTCGATAGTTGATTGTAAATCATCCGTGGTAGGCAGAACGAGACTTTGTCGTCTTTCTCGTGCGCGTTTTCGCTTTCCTGATCGACACAATACAAACATCATAATATTAACAAAAGCATAGAGTAAGCATTTGCATGATGGTATGTAGATACCTGCAATGCCTGTTTTTGGCTGCGACTGGTCTGCAAAATCACCTTGTCCAGCTTGAATTGCGCGTTTGCCAGACACTAGATCAAATGTGGTACCCCACCTGTGCCATACGTTCTCCCGACAACTATCCACTGCAGCTCGAAATGCCATATCCTCATTTCTGTACCTTTGAATATCCGATAGTACATGTTTTGCGCCGGACGAGAAGAAATCTTTGCCAATAATGCAGCTTGGGACGATATTAATTCCAAAAGTTGCTGTTAAAAATAGCTTTGCACCCTCGTCGGGTTCCAATACTGCTAATGGTGCGGGCAAGCCATTTTCGGCTATTTTGTCGCCTTGTGTCGCTTTTTCTTGGCTAGGAAATAGGTGAAGCACTGGATTCACCTCGTGCGCCTTAACGTACTTCAGGTACCGCTCCTCATACGTCCGTGACGGGATCTGAACACCTGTGACGGTGTCTGTATACTTAAACAATCCCTTTTTGTTGCAAAAATGTTTTGCCTTGGTATGCGTTTCACGCTGAGAGTCTGCATCGCTCCACTCTTGGTTCATTCGATGTAAAAAGCACGTAAGGTCTTCCATACTTTTCCGACGGTACTCTGCATCAGCTGCAAACTTAGGATTCGCTTTTGTCATGGGTCCTAAGTAATATCCGGTATCCGCATACACTTGTTTGGCAATTTCAAGGCCTTCCTGACTTTTATCGTCCAGCTTAGTATACCTCCTTACGAGACGCCGAAGCTCTTGTTTTTTCTGCCGTGCGGAAGTTGTCGTAACTTTTGCTTCATCTAACGCTGTATCACTCATGTGTTTCTTGAGCGTTTCCAAGAACGTATCCCGATGCGTCTCGTGTGCAAAAGACCCTGTAACCACAAAAGGTTCGTCGTGTCAACACAATGCTGTCAGACGTCTTCATTTCGTCAACATCATCATATTATGAGCCTACCTGGCATAAATGTCAATTCAAGTTGATTGCCATGCATTAATTGAATTTCCACACCTTCAAACTTGTTTTGCACTGCAATTGGCACCACATCCAGCACTTTTTCAATGGTAAAAAACAATGCACCCGTCAATTTGCTCTTCTCGTGTCTTTCCAGTGCGTTTGAGTCGCTCTGCATCGTCTGAAGCCAGATAATCCCACTGTCATCATCGATAGACGTCACACCGATCGTCCCTAGACTGTCAGCAATTTCCACACCATTAAATTTGGCAGCTACATGCTGATACATGACCCAACGTTTCTTCTCCTTCTCCTCCTCTTGTTGTTGTTGTTGTTGTTGATAGAAACGTGTTAGTACATGATGTGACATGTCATACTGACTCAATTGCTCCTTTATTTGCGACGGTCTTGTATGAAACAGATCAGAGAAAGACCTAAAGCCGTGAGTGTCCTCATCATTATTGTCACTCATTCTATTTTACACCAATATTTGCTAGAAAATTGACAATAGACAATAACGAACTTTAAATTTACGTAGCACGGCTGATTCTAACTTGAGTTGCGGAGCTGGCAAAATTAGTGAAAACTATTGTACAGCATAAGATGGTTCGCTGAGAGATAATATGGTGATTGCTTTTTGTTCAAATACTTTTTAAAGGACTCGAAATGGCTCAAGTAAAACAAACTTTACATAAAAAAGCTTAGAAGCAGGTATTATCTAGATAATCGGTGAATATGCCTGCGGACATACCTACAAGGCATTGGCTGTGCCAATCAAATTCAAGTATTTTGTCACGGGCAGCTTCGACGAGGAGATTGTGTTGAAAGGCAAGTTTTAAAAAGGAGTATCATTGTTGGATTGTCCTATGAGCGACGAGCAATTATGGAAGTTTCATTGGATGATTCTACTTGTTAAAGGAATAGCTAGCTAGCCAGCTATACTAATGTTTGCAACTTACTCTAATGGTGTTATCGGATTTTAAACAGCGAAATATAACCCATATCTTTGCAGCAGTCTTTTCGGTTTTACACTAGCTAAAAGTAATAATGGCAATGCGGAAAAGACAAAACCCAAGCGCTATAACGTTCGAAAATCCGTTTATGAATAATAAAGAGTTGTTCGGATACTTGTTCAAATCACCAATCCCTCTTAAACTAGATACAACAGCTAATATATTCCAAACATTTTCGTTCAATTCATCTCACCAGTTTTATACAAAATTATTCTTTTTATTGAAAACCAAATAAAAAAATAAAAAAGAAGGAAAAGTAGCATCAATGATCGAGAAATGGCTGCTCAAATGTGGTAAAATTCTTGGTCTAGTATTGTTTCTTATCGTCACAAGTATCATCATGTATGATCATATCTCTCCATTATCTCTTCCAATGGCTCTGTATTCCATTCAACATGCGGCTGACAGAGTAAAAGACGATTTCTATCGATTGCTAGGATCCATTCAAAACAATCTCAAAGCATCGGCAAAGACGTTTGAAGGTGTTTTTGTATCTACTCAATGCATTCAATGGTTGACAGTATTATTAAAGAATAAAAGAATAGAAAAGACAGCACAAGCAATGGAAAGATTAATCGCAGAAGGTAGGTGTCGATTCCCACAATACAGAGAACTAATACGGACTGTAGGCTACAAACTGATCGAGAGTTTAAGACTCGAGCTTTCAGGTTTAATGAATGGGTTGAAAGTATTAATGGACTGGATGAATTCAGTCGTGATGGAATGGACAACGGACAGTCAAGTGGTGAAACAAGTGGAAGCTCTTTTATTGATGCCTCTCTCATTTTTATCAGAAGCTTTGAGACAGAGTCGAGATGTGACAATATGGAGTCTGGATAAAGTCTATGAGTGGTTACAAGTCAAGTCGAAAACGAGTGATGTGGATGTACCGGAAGAAGAGTTTCTTACACCTTTAGTGACACATCAAGCTACAATCCAAACGATTGGAGAAAAAGTAACGGCACAGGAATTTCGGGCACTGCATGACGTGAAACGTTTTGAAAAACGCCGGGTCACAATTGCATCTGCCACCAACTCGATCATTGACGAAACCCGGACTCTCGTACTTGAAAGTATCGTGAATGTAAAAATGGCTGCGGTGGAGTTGATTGAAGCACGCACAAGGCAACTAGCAGAAAAGTATGCTCAAGCATTTGAGCAGGCACTCAAAGACTACGAGCGTACATTATGGCAAGCAGAAGAAGAGGACCGAAATGCGATAGTAGCTGAAATGACGGCTGAAGGTCAGGCGCAAGTTGATGCTGCAGCAGGCTTGAAGCGATATTTATCAGTGTATGAACTGATTATTGATGACAAGTTGAAGAAATCTTCCGTCTTTAGAGACCAGTCTTCTTTTATGGACGAAGTGCAGGACAAGCGTTTCACTGGACATCGTCTCGCAAGTAGCCAACTAGCTGAACAGAGCAAGCTGTCTGTAGCCCTGTCTGACATGTCCGTGTCGAGAAAGCAAAGTTCAGCTGAAAGTATGCTAGGCGGTAATTTTGACGATGAAGACGAGTCTCAAGCACTTACTGAGACTGCTAATGGAGGTCTAGTGGCAGTTGAGCTGGGAGAAGCACCAGCTATGGAGCACAGCTTCTCACAAATGACATCGGAACTTGAGCTTGACAGTAAGGAGCAGGTTCGTGTGCCGACTGTTTCCGAAGTTTCATTAGTTAGCGAGTCAAGTTTGTCGGAGAAAGTGGTCGAGGATGATTATATCAGTGGAGACGATTTACGGCTTTCTGCCAAGCACGCCGAAACTGATTCTTTAAACGCTGTACTGGAATCTACGGACAGGCGCGAGGCAATCAGTGAGGTGGAACAGACGTTTGTAACGCAAGTTTTAGTGAACGTCGGTAATGCTTTGCTAGAGGCGGAACTGATGCAAACGGAAGTATCAAGTTTTCTTGCCGCGCAAAACATATCTGAAGAAGACGCGCAACTCCAACAGCAAAATCGAGTAAAAGCGCAATTAAAAGCCCCGGTTGACGCAAGCGACATGAAGCTTGTGGAAGAGCTGACTTCATTTGCTGATAAGAGCTTTGAAAAGGTAGAAGTGAACGCGCCTGATGTTAATGTGAGAACTTGGCTGGCCGCTCAGGCTGGATCTGAGGGCGAAGGCATCTTGGAGAAAGAGAGAGTGGCGACGACCAAGTACATGGAAGCAGATTCTAAAGAGACTCTGTGGTACGACGACGCGGAGATAGGTACACAAAGCGAGCAACTGAATGCTGAATCGGTACTTGACGTAAATGTGAATGGTGTGCAAGAGGTGCTTACAGAGCTTCATTACACAAAAGAAGAGTCGAGGACCTTACGTAATGATGGAGCTTTTGTGGAAAGGGAGTTACCGAAGAGCCCTGTTGGTGAAGCTAACGAAGCTGTACGAGAATGCACAGGGTGCCTTGAAATTGAGGAAAATGCTAATGGAGCTAAATTGACTAATTTCAAGAAAGTGGAATCGGAAAGCGTGATAGCGGCGAGAGAATTTGAAGAGTTAAAGCAACTGGAACAGATAGTGTTGCAGAAGGAAGCTGAATGTATTCGAGTAGAAGAAGAGCTGCGTATGATTGCTGAAAAGGAAAGAATTCCGCTGCTAGAGGATCTTTTACCTGCTAAAGGCGAAATTTCTCATGAGGACGCGGTGCCTGGACATTACAGATTCTCTGATGTGACGAAGCGTGCAGAAGCGGTTATGGATGTTGAAAGCGAAGAGTGGCAATTAAGTCCCTCTGACACATTTTTGTTGACACCCAGACCCGCTTTGTTGCAGATCAGTCTGTTTTCATTGGCATTTTTTGGACTTGCGGCGTTGACAGTATATCTATATGCTCGTCCCCGCAAGCATGGATTCTTTGCCCATTCACTTCGCCGACGTAAGCGGTGGCAGCGACATGCTGATATAGAGGAGTCTGAGGCTGAAGAGGTGGTGTTGTTGCCTGACGACAGTTCGGATGAGGAAGTTGACACCACTGCTGCTGTAGTCAAGCAGTCCAGTTTGAAAGGCTTTGGGGGACTTGCTAATGTTGAGGTTGAAGCGATTGAAGCTATGTCTTCTGGAGGCGAGGAAGATGATGAAAACGAGAAAAAAAGTAGCGCGAATTATAGAAGTGTCGATGAGCCAGAAGATAATGAGGAGGAGGACCTGGATGCCGAGAGATCTCACTTGATTGTCACGGAGCGTGTCCAGACAATAGTGCATACGGTAGACCATCCTGTTGCTTCAAGTTTGGATGCTATAGCTGATGACGATGACACTGCTAGTATATCACCGATAGCTTCAGGGCAGAAAACACCCGACACTTCACAGCACGCGCGACTGCGGCGACGTGGAATCCGTACTTGAGTGCCAACGGACCACACCAAAAGCACATATATGAAAAATGAGTGACATAGCTAAGATAAGAAGTTCACAAGGCTTCATTTTGAATTTTACTGAGGTAAAGCAGACAACGTGTTTGATACAGCTTCATACTTTCCTTTTACATTTACAAACTACCTACCACACACACCTAGAGGATGCAGGCTGGTGCTGGGTGATTGATCATGCATCGAGGTCCCTGTATTGTAGCTGCTGCGGCGACTCCGAGTTGTCCGTGACTTTTAGTCGCTTGACCACTAGCTTGTAGCCCGGACGAATCTCGCCTCGATATCCTTTGGGGAAGTAAGCGCGATTATACTCACGCATTTCGTCGTCCGTCATACCATAGCGCTTTGCCAGCTCTTCTGGGGTGTCACCAGGCTCGACAACGTGAATCTGCTTGGTCAGTTTCACTTCCGCAACGTTGCGTCTACTTGCTGCTTGTTGGCTTGCCAATAGATCTGGTACAATAACTCGTTCACCAACCACTAGCTCAACACGTTGACCCAGTGGGTAACGGCCACGATTAATTTGTAGAAAGTGAGAGTAAGGTATTGAATACTTTGTACAAATGGACTCAAAGGTATCTGTACAAGTAACAAGATGCGTCCTGTATCGTGCAAAAAGAGCCGACGTGTTCGTGTAAATAGCTTCCTCTTGTTCGTCCATTGCCTTATCCTTACAGATTCGCTCTACAATGTCTTGTTTTTCCATTTCTCCAGTAAAGATCTGTCGAATATGTAGCAATTGTCCTGGATACAATTGACTACGCTCACCTGTTGGAAAGTAGTGACGATTATCTTGACGTAAAATATCTTCTCTTGTATTGTAAAGTATTGCAATATCACGTAACGTTTCTCCAGCGCGTACAAAATGCATTTGACCCCATCCATTATCAATACAATTAGGTAATGGTGGAAGTGATACATCACGTGCTTGTTCAATAGTAAGTTGTTGACCAGAATAGAGTTTCACACGTGTCGTCTTCTTATGTCCTAGAAGCGGATTTAGTGCGAGCAAATTCATCTCACTTGTTTGTGTTTTGTGTGCAATACTGGAAAGTGTATCACCTGATTGAACGTGATAACGAAAGGATGATGGTAATACTTGAGGTGGCATGAAATTGTCGCGTGAATTGCTGCCAGAACTGGCGCTTAGACTCACGGTACTGCCATACATGGATCAAAGAGGTTTTGAGTGGAGAAGATATTGAATATCTTCGATCTGATTCGATGGTTTTAAAAAAATACCTCGTATCAGATTTATTAGACGATAGAAAAAATGAAACACAAAATTTATGGCAAACAGTATTCAGGCTGTTTGTGACAATTCTGGAAATTTAAGTGGAACAGCATGGGTCGATGTTACCACTAAACTCATTAGCGTCCGTGTCCTTGAAGATAATAAAACCAAGACCAACTCCAAGAATTACAGCAATAAACATGAGTGTTTCAAATGTCATAATGACCAGCATGACCCAATAGCCCAGACTCAAATGCACCATGTACATGATTGCAAGCATCACTTTACACCAAAGTGGCAGACGACGAACAATACTCACCTGGGGGGTGGTTGGCACGCGGCCGACCTTGTTCGCAAATGAATCATTAACAGCAGCGTAGTCGCTGCTCACGCTGGTGACTAGTAGTGTAGACAGCGACATGTCGTCAGTTTGGCTAGATACGATGCCATAGTCCCGGAAAAGCCGCTTCGTCACAAACTCGCGCAGCTCACCAAAGCCCTCGAGCGACATGGCCAGCAGCACGACACCCAGAAAGGCAAAGATGTACTTGACTGTAGATGAGATCACCCATGGCTGGAAAAGTAGCAGTAAACACGACGTGTCTCCGCCTATAGCCAGCTGAAAGCCGTTAAACATGGCCGAACCGGTGGGAATAGCGGCCGCACCGACGTCGCAAAAGTCACCGGAAGAAACCTGGGCCGCCACATACATGGTCGGATTGTCAAACACAAGCTGTGCATGCTCTTGTGAGCACGTATAGATCTTTTGAGTGCCCTTGGAAATCCATGGCACGGCATGCGTAAGCTGGTCAAAGCCCTTGCCACATACGGGACACCTGATGTCCGTTGCGTCCTTGTAAATCTCGTCCGTGGTAATGTCAACTTTCTTTGGTAAACCTAGATTAGAAGCCTGTAAGAAGAGAGAGGTAATATTAGATAAGAACGTATAATGCAAGAGAGGAGGGGGGAGAAAATGTTCCAACTATTGACAGACAAAGACGTACTGGGTCATTCTGAAGCGAGTCAATGTGGCCGGCCATCTCACATGCGTAAATATACTGGTTGCCCAGGATAAAAGCATTGATATCCGCTTTTACATCCATGTTACATAGTGGACACGTGGTCTTTCGCAGGTTTTGATCGGCCTCCGTGTTCATCACCAACAGCAGTAGGAAGTACGCCAAAAGTAACATTAACATTGGAGCTCTCGACATTGCAAAAGAAAGTGTAAAACTGAGGTCGCAAATGCGAAAAATTACGTTGATTTGAGCTCAAAAGTTAATATTTTTACCCAAGAGAAAGTCAAAACACGTTCAAAAAAGCCGTTGATGAATGACAACAAAGAGAATGGAAAATAACTCTTGGTGATGATGATGATGGAAGAGGGAACGCTCAGCTGCGATGTAGATTCATATGTATTAACAAAACGAGCTTTTTACGTGTGCAATTATTGAATGGGCATCAAGGAGGTCGAAACCCTTTGGCTTTGCCATATATAAATCATTAGCTTACATCCAGTCCATTATATTTGGGCACGTCCTGTTTATGCCGCCTGCTGGTCTGAATTAATTCTATTTGTAGTAAATGTTATAGTAAAACATCGTAACCTATACAACGTAACCCTTACATTGCCCAACATAATCCATTTTCCGACTGTCTTTCTATTATATACTTTACGGTACAGCTTAACGACAGGAGGTACTTCTACCAACAAGCAGCTTTGACATTTTGTATTTGCTTTCTTCGAACAAGATGCTTCGTTCTTTCGTTCAATGGACTGTAGCTATCTCAGCACTACTGACGACATCAACTACTGCACATATGCACCACAATCACAATCATAATGTACATCTAGTGTACGATATACACACGATGCAAGAACACCGAGATTTGGCATCACTAGGTGTTGATTATACGTGTCCTGTATGTGGCATGTCTACACTGGAAAGTGGTTATGATAATGCAAATTATGTGACGATGATGAACGGCCAGAAGATTTATTCGTGTGGTATGGCACCACGACCCTTTCCAAACTATGATTCGGACTTGACGGACACGGCCTATCTGGCTGCCAATATGGCCGAGTTTATTGTGAATCCAACGGACGCAGACGCTTACGTCAAGTGCACGAACGACTGTAGAGAGTGTTCGGATAACATCAGTGACCCCGTGTCTGGAGACGCAATCACGACTGCAAACTATGTCTACGTGTGTTTGAAGAACGGCCAGAAAATTTACTTTGCGTCACAAGACAACAGAAACTCGTACCTTACCCGTGTCAACACTGAGCCACGCTATTTGGTCGACAGTGTCATTTGCTCCGGCTCTGCGTGCACTGATGCTAAAACTATAACGACGCTGAGTCTTGCGGCGCAGAGTTTTGTGGCAGACAACCCCCCTGCGAGTGCAAGCGGTACCACTGCTACACCCGCGACGTCTTTAAACAGCAGTACTACTGAGTCAGCCGCGTCATCGACCAGCTCTGACTTCTGTTCAGGCCAGGGGTCGGTCATGTTCAACGGCTTCCAGACGTCCATCCATGGGTCGTGTGTGATGCTGTTTTTCCGGCCGTGGGTGCTTAACAGCGGCGTCAAGTACGCATTCGGATTTATCGGATGCTTTTTGATTTCATTGCTGAATGAAGCGCTTGTAAAGGGACGCGAAGTGGTGCGCCAACGCCTGTTGATCGCGCGGAAGCTTCGCCCTCACGACAAGGTTCACAAGATACAGTGCAAACTGACTCTTGCTGTTCTTTATATGATCCAGATGACGATCGCGTATTTTGCCATGCTCGTAGTAATGACCTACGAGACGGGTCTGTTTCTGGCCCTTATCGCCGGTTTTGGTGCCGGTTTTTTGCTTTTGAAGAATCTAGACCAGGACATTACCCAGGAGCGTGGCTCATGGCGTTACACGGACCCTTCTACCGTGCGAATTCCGGTCGAGGGTATGTCGTGCATGAAGAATTGCGGCACGACGGTGGAGAATGCGCTAAAAAACACGCCGGGTGTGACTGATGCAATTGTGGAGCTCGACGAGCGTGCCGCTTATGTTTCTGGATCAGCGCATTACAGCGACCTGGTGGCAGCTATTGAGGCAGCTGGTTTCAGTACCGAGGTAAACAATCAGACCGAGCGCAAGAGCGACGCTTCTTCTCGCGCGTAAGATCTTATGCAGTAGTATTCCCATCAAGCATGCTGCTCATAAGAGAACGTCGCATTTCTCATTTTACTGGTTACACGGTTTGTTGCTTTCTGGCTTCCATGTATGTAGTGAATGCCGTAAGGACGTTTAAGGAATCGTTTCTGCCTTGCCCGCATTGAGCTGGTCACGTCAAGTGCTGTTGACCATCGTCAGCGGAGAAAGGTAACAAGCAGAAACCTTGTTGCGAGCATGCACACGAGAAAGCGCTACTTACACTGAAACGATTGTTGACAATACTTTTGTTGCAACAAGTTATTTCCAATCTTGCTCCCTTTGCATTACCGTGAATAAAAGTGACCTACAAGTCGTAAGTAGGAGCTTTCACTGCTTTGTAAAGGGCTCTTGGAAAGTCTCGAGTAGCTGGCGCACCTTCTTGGCGCCCACACCGGGACAAAGTGATAGTTCTTCCATGGACGCATTCATTAGTCCTTTTACGGTTCCAAATGTGGACAACAACGTAATCACATCCGTCTTGTTTACTGATCGAATGGATGTAAGCACGTCGTTGGCTTTGGGCAAGAACTCTGCCTTTACTTTCTCCTTGATAATAGTCGCTGACTTGTTCTCGTAGGCCTTAAATGTTTCTAAATACCGTGCGGCTTCAAGCCAACTCCACGCCAGCACTAGCGTAAAATCACTTAATAGTGCAACGCGGTTGATTTCACGCAATGCCACCTCATTGTCGTCCACGTCCACAAAACACAACACAAGTTTTGTTTTGTAGCGCGTTGGATCATCCTTCCGTACACTCTGCACGCGCTCTTCCAAGTAATTATTATGCAAGAGGTGATACCTCACACTCAAAAACAATACGCAGCAGGTAGATTCACCTATTACATAGTCTGCAATCATTCCGTCTCGAAATTCAAGTCCCACATTGCGTACGGCTTTGAGCATTGGGTTGCCCTGTTGCCGTCGATTCACATACACAATAGCAGCTGCGTCTCTTGCAGGAGGTTTCTCGTCCTGTATTTTCTCCGATGGAGGATGGACATACGAAGATGTTTTCCTCAAGTGTGCAAAAGCTTTACTGAACGTTAAAGAAGATGACGCAGATTCATTCTCTCGCGGTAAATAGCGAGGCGCCGTCTCGTTTCCATTAGCGCCACTATCCGTCACGGGACCAAGTGTACGCGAGTCCATTAAACTTGGGACGCTAACATTAGTTACTTCATGTAATGAAGAAGCTTTTGTGATCACGTTTGCAATACTACAATCTTTGTCATGGTCACCATTGGATCTAGGAACAGCTTGATCTTCCATCTTGATTCCTTGTAGGTTTTGAAACGCGTGATTGGTTGAAATGAGCTACACGTTAGTCTTCATGAGACGCTTAGTGTCTGCAATTGGATAAGGTCATACTTGTTCCATAACAATAAGGTTGCTAACTAGATGACTAAACACTCAATCCATTTTCTGCTTCCAAATTCAATGACAAGCAACAATTGACAGGTAGGTCACCTTTTCTCTATCGTCAATTTGCATCAATTTTATTGCCAAATGCTTGTTCTATTCAGGTCAAACTACACGATAATCTTACGAATGTTGCACACAACCTATCATCTTACATTTTGAGGTTATGATGACTCCCTTGCCACTATATTGCATCACTTACCCTCTCATTAGCTGCTTTATGGCTACATATAATGGAACATACTCTTCTACTTTCATGATGTGCACCACAACAAATTTCATGTGGCCAACTGTCAGATGGGTTTTCACTTGAATAAAGTATTGTGACTAGAAAGCGTTGAAGTGCAACCAAGAGCACCTTCATTCTTGAATTTGCCGCCTTCATGGGACAAGACTCGACAGCTCTTCGCGTAACAACAACGTCTCCAACTGCACCGCTATCGAATGGCGTCTTGTCACCACGCAATGAGTTTTATGTATCTCAGCGTGCTGCCACGGACTTTGAACTCAGTCGTCTTGATACGCTATCGCTAGAGGAACAAGAGATCTTGGCAAATATTCAAGAGTTACAGCTTCAACTTATGCAGCTTCGTGCTGAAGAAGAAGTAGAGGAAGAGGAGAAGAAGAATAAAGATATGACAGAAAAAGTGGTTGGTTCTGGTAGTGGTCACCAGCTTATTGTCGTTTCCAATAACTTGCCTGTTTTATTAGAACGTCAGTCACAAACTGGACGTTGGAAGGCGACCAAGACAACTGGTGGTCTGGATAAACTCATGTGCTTGACAGGTGTTCGAAATGAAATGAGCTTTTTATGGGTGGGGTGGGTGGGTCAACACATTCCTAAAACAGAGCACGAAGCTGTTCGTCGTTTACTATTGCAACACAATTGCTTACCTGTATTTTTATCACCTGAAGTTGCTTCTAGACACACTGGATTTTCATCGGAAGTATTGTGGTCAGTGTTTCATTATGTGTCGGAGTCTGTGCCTTTCATGTTAACTGCGGGAAGTAATTCAAGCTTTCAAGTTACGAAACGATTCAATAAACAAGATTGGCGAGCGTATGAGTCGGCTAATGAAAGTTTTGCCGATGCTATTGCTGAAGTATACAATGAAGGAGACTCCGTATGGGTGCATGACTATCATCTGATGCTACTGCCGTCGCTGCTACGCCAGCGCATCCCGCTCTGTCGGATTGGATGGTTTCTGCATACGCCATTCCCAGCGTCTGACGTGTACTGCCGTCTTCCTGTACGCTCACAGCTTTTAACAGGAGTGTTGCAAGCAGATCTTATCGGGTTTCAGACTTTTGACTATGAACGTCACTTCCTATCAACATGCCATCGACTTTTGGGCGTGGAGTGCTCGCACAAGGGCGTCCGCAGCCCTCTTGCTGACAGAGATCATTTCACATCGATTGGCATCTTTCCTATTGGGATTAGTTTGGAGCCTTTTGCACGAGCAGCGTCCAGTCTATCAACGCTTAACCGAGTAAATGAGCTGCACGATAAATTTGGCGGCAAACGCATCATTTTAGGAATCGACCGACTCGATAACATCAAAGGGATACCGCATAAAATGCTAGCGATGGAGATGCTTCTAGACCGTTTTCCCGAGTGGCAGCATAATGTCGTATTAGTGCAGATTGGTATCTCGTCGCGTTCTGGAGTAGTTGAGAGCAAATCAATTGGCACAAATGGCAAAAGCGAAAATGCTCGGCGACCCAGTGTCAACATTGCAAGTGGGGAGAACAAAACTGTACTTCCACGCTCCTCCTCATATCCAACTATCGGACCAGGAACTCTCACTGGTACTGACAGTCCTATGAAAGGTATGGTTGAGTCCCCACCAGTCGACACGAGTTCTGTTGCAGCTGGAAAGGGTAGTAATCTCGGGTATGACGCCTGCCATCAACTTGAAATGAGCTCGCACAGCTATCACAATATTGTAACTCAAGTAAACCAAATCGTGGGTCGCATCAACGGCATTTTTGGGACTCTGGACTACGCGCCTATCCACTTTATTCAGCAACAAGCAACACCGCATGAAGAATTATGCGCGCTTTACGATCTGGCTGATGTGTGTCTGGTAACCTCTACGCGTGATGGAATGAATTTAGTGTCTCATGAATTTATTGTGTGCCAGCAACATTTCATGCGCAACAAGGATGAACGCAAGAAAGCTGTTCGTGCTGCCGCAAGAAAGCCTCGTATCATTAACGTGACTGATGGCGAATCAACTACTGCTCATGTGCCGGGAAAGTCCGAAGGGGTTAGCAGCTTAAATACAGTAGGAGAAAACACAAGGAATGGTGAAGTGCTTTCTACAGTTTCATCTCCACAGCAGGCATCAGCATCTGTGCTGACGGACTGGGAAGGTGAAGATGGTGGGCCTGGCGTGTTGGTCGTGAGCGAATTTGCAGGCTGCTCGCAGTCGTTAAGTGGTGCGATTGTCGTCAACCCATGGAATACAGAAGATGTAGCTTTGAGTATTCACCAAGCATTAAGTATGTGTCGCACCGAGCGTGAAATCCGTCAGCAGAAGCTTTATCGCTATGTTTCATCGAATACTGCTTCGGCGTGGGGGGAGCAATTTTTGAAAGAGCTCGGTGAAGCTGTAGAGAAAAATCGCAAATCATCATTTCAACTGCCGAAGCTGGACAAGAAAAATATTGTGCAAGCTTATCGGAGCGCACATAATCGCGTGATCATCCTGGATTATGATCGGACACTGACACCGCAGCACTCTCTTCTTCCGCTCGCTGCTGTTGGGCCCAATTTCAAGTCACTACTTGATGCACTTACTGCTGACGAGCGCAATAAAGTGTTCATCGTCAGCAGCCGTGAGCGTAAGTTTTTAGAGACATGGTTGAACGGCGTGCGCGTTGGTGTTGCAGCAGAGGATGGCTTCTTTTATCGTATGAATCTGAGCAACACACGTGAGCAGTGGAAAACCATGAGCAAGTTTCAGTACGATGTAGCAATCGCTCGATCTGGTGGAAGTGCCACTACTGGAGTGAGCAGTACAAATGGTGGTAGTTTAGATGCGTCGTATTCGAGTGATGCACAGAGTATGATGCACATGAGCATGGGTAGTTTTCCGACATACGGACAGCATGCTTCTGCACTGGGTGCAGATAGTGCACCAGTTGCGAGTGGGAGTATTGCTTTGACGGACGATTCATTTGGCGGAGATGACATGTCTTGGAAGGACTTGGTTTTACCGACAATGTTAATGCTTACAGACAGAACGCCAGGGAGCTATATTGAAGACAAGGAGAGCTCCTTGACATGGCACTATGGCGACGCTGATCCCCATTTTGGCAGTTGGCAGGCAAAGGATTTACAGATCATCTTAGAGCGCCAACTTATTGGTACAGCTCTGGAAGTCTACCAAGGGCACATGTCGGTTAGCGTAGAGCACGAGGGGTGCACGAAGACGCGTATCCTCGAGGGTATTCTGAAGCATTTGTCGCTTCCTGACCAGATTGCTAAGAAGAGCAACCACGAGGTTGATTTTGTCTTATGCGTTTGCGATGATATGACCGATGATCAAATGTTTCAGACTTTGAACGCCTTGGTGGTGGAGTCGAACGAGCGTCACGATGAAAGAAAACGAAAAGAGGAGCAAGCGGCAACTGAACGTATTCGTCGGAACTCGACAGTCGTAAGCAATCGTGTGTCAGCACACTTTCATGCACAACCAGTGCCATCCGCTGCTCACGTATCAAAGGCAAAACCCCGCATGCCAAGACCTAGAGGTGGAAATATCGTCACGGATGATTTGGAGTCGACTAGAAAGCTTGTAGGTGGAACGAAAAAGCGCAATCAAAGTGAACAGTTGATAGGAGCTGCATCTGCTACTGTCCGAGGGCACGAAGACTACTCAACTGACGATGATGACGAGTTGGATGTAGGCGAATATTTGGATGATGACAACAAGGTAGCGTTCAGTCGGTTGCAAAAGGTGCCTGTGCGACTTGCAAAAAACGTGGCAATATTTACCGTAGTAGTTGGCCCAGATGTGCAACATAGCGGAGGCCGCCATGCCTGTTCTTTTGCGGTAGACTCGTTAGCAGACGTGCGGAAGGTTCTTAAAGATTTCGTCGAAGAAAGTCGCAGAGGAGGGCCGGGGCCAGGCGCCCCGGCGGCAACAGGAGGAGATATTGACGCAACAGTCTCACCGCCATAAGACCAACAATCTCACAGCGCACGTGTTTGCAGTTAAGTCTTTTACAAGAGGTCGTAAAAGTAGTCGAGTCCTGTGCAACGGTAAGTCACGTATGACGATGATCAGATGACAAAATACGAAAGCAAAACAATTGACATATGTTCAAACACACCTTGTCCTAGCTCCCAAATCGCAACCCCCACACCATATTCCTTGTAGAGCTGCAAACGATCCTGCAGAAATTGAAGACATGGATAGAAAACAAGACGAAAACTACCCGTTTCTGCGCGAGTGTGCATGAGTCGACACTCCTAGCATCATTAACAAATACAACAAAAACAGCAAAAACTTGTCAGATGTTGGAGGATGATTACTTACACGTTATATACTCAGTCGTACATGTGCAATTGTTTCCCATCGAATCCTGTCGATATTGTTATCTTTCAACAATTGAATGTAAGTACTTCCCGTTAGCACCTCTACACAAAGCAGCACAACACAATTCATTACTAAAACAATGCCGCAAGTTGGCACCTTGACCCCACTTCCTACCAGAATTATCAAAACCATAAAACGGAAGTCCCATCAGTATCCTCTGCCGCTCCATCGGCGACATCTTCTTTAGGGTCTTCTTCAGCCATTGATAAGGCGCAGTCGGCCCAGGAATATTATAATCGTACGCATTCATGGTAAAGCGGTGCACTAACGGCGCCAACTTGGAAAAAAGCTCATGCGTCACAGGCATCTGGCCCTAGTAGTAAAACCACAACCATCAGTTAGCAACGAATAACAGCAAGAACTACCATTGATTGTCTTACATCATTCGAACTTTTGGGTAACACAAGAATCAGCAACTTGTCCTGTGCTCGGAAGACTCGAGCCATTTGTTGCAGCATACTTAATGTCTTTTGCATCACTGGAATCTCAAACACGATTCCATCAAAATCGTGCTTAGTCATCAACGATAGCAGCTCGTACAGAATCACTGGAAAGTCTTCTGGCTTGAAATAACTGCGCTCGTAGATAACACGAGGTACTATCGCAGGGCCTTTTCCCTCATGTGGGTCACCTTTTGACCCATATTTGACATCATGAACCCACTGCTGGTCAATATCGTGTGTACCTGTGATGATCGGTACATGATCATCGTCTTCACGCAATTGCAGCCATGTGGGCGAGATATACGTGAACTTGGTGCGAAAACGCTTTGCCCAATCGTAGCCTCGGCTGTTCCACGGTGTCACGTAGCCCAGCGTCTCACCCCTAAAGCTCTTTTGTAAACTGCTGGCAGCCCGCGCATGTTCCTGCAAGATGAGCTTTGGATCAACTTCGGTCGTCACGAGGCCTCGGGCCCAGACGGAAGGGATGCCTCTGCTGGCATCTACCACATCAAATGCGCACTCTAAACCGTCACAATCTACTTCTACCATTTCTTTGCTCTTGGTGACATTCATCTACAGCAGTAGCAACGTCCAGGCAAGTCAGAGCAATGACAATTACTATACAGTCAAATAAGACACACGTACGTTAACGTTTGAGACACGATCGAGATCGTGCTCATGTCCATCCACGTTGACAACACTGTCGTTATTGTTCACTTCTGAGGCGTAAGCACCCCATTCTGTGCTCAGTAGCAGTGCCACGTAGCACGCTCGTAGTGTGCTTGATAACGCAGTCTTCATCAATGACAATGATTAATTCATGACAGCTAATTGGTGGAATCTGCTGACGTGGTGCACGATCACTCGTTAAACTTGATATATGACGACATATGTGACAACTTTTTCAGGACGCAATAATTTGAACTAGCAGCAGCACCCTAACTCACTCAGGCAGAAACTAAAGATACGAAAGTTTAAGGAAAAGAGGAGTACAAACCATGAAATGAACCTATCTTGATGGCTTGAAAATGCATATAACCGAACAAGTAAATTCTGCAGTGCAAATCAGACTGCGAAGAGATGCATGTTAATCCCGTATAGTGATGACTACCATTAAAAAACAAGTATTCACTTCAAGCACTGTCTCTTTTTGTCTGAATATTAACGCTTCTGCAGCCATTGCAAGATAAAGGGTTTCTACTTTCGGTTAAAAAAATCCATTGTCACGCTTCATGCATGCATACAAATCTTCCCATTCGTCCTCTGGTGCAGCGCACTTCAATTCACCTTGTTTTTACTACAAGCGTGGGTCTATATGTCTCATAATGGTATATTTATTCATCATACCTGGCAACTACATCGGCAATTCGTCCATCTCCCCGTACCTTTCTTTGCGGTAGAAAAGGTGGAAAAAGCTCCATCACACCTGGTAATGTAGGTAGGAGCTCGTGCATTTGTCAGCTGGCTGCTGTTGGGAAGGGTAGAGAGCGCAATTACTACCTTGACTATCGTACGCTGTATTTGATTTGAACTACGATTGGACACAAACACATCATAAAATGTTTAGCATGTCATGAGAAATACCGACCGACAACTGATAAATGAAAACATGTTGTAGCTTCTTGAAATGAAAACAAACTTTCCGTTGAGACGTGTCGTCGATGAAAGTAAATGCATTTGCATCATTACTTCAAGACAAATAAATACAGCTGGGATGATGATGCATATGAAAACACGTCTCTTGGATACTGCTGTATAGCTAGCATACACGAAATGCTTCATCTTTTTAGGATGAACAGGGTTGGTAAAATTTGAAATGAAGAAGGCTAGTTTATTCTTTCCAACTGAATGAATCAACGGATCATTCTTGATTTTCCGATAACTTGCATACGTGGAAATCCTTCGGCCTTTGTCATTCTCGAATAAATGGCGCGACGTCAATGCAAACCCAGCACAACTGACATCTCGTCGCGCAGTATTTTCAAGTGCTCGGACGATACGAAATTGCGAAGACCCTTTGGTCAAGTTTCAGGACATTTAGACCCGGCCATGCGTTCGTTCGTTACTTCCAGTAGCGATACTTGTAGATCTGCTTTTGATACCGCTAGCTCCATGGAGCTCAAGGATGAGAATGAAGCACTTTTGGCATTGGCCACAAGCGCCCGAGCCAACGTGGAGCACGCACAACGTGTGTTTGCAACTGCAAGATGGAAAGGACGCAAGGAAAGCCAAGGCATCCGCGCGTGTGAGCGAAAGACAACACCAGGAGTTTACGAAGTTACGGTCTCGACATCTTTGCCTTGCACTGTTAATGAAATTGTAGACGTGTTTTCCAGTCATAACAGTGATGACTTCAACGCCACTATGGTGGCCCTTGCGGGCGACGCGTTTTCTTATGCAGTGACACTACGCGAAGTCCCGACGGCTTCGGTAAATACGCACCTTACTATCAAGCGCATGCAGTTTTCGGGCTCTATCCCGCTACTTTCCAGTACCAAAACGATTGAATTTCTTGACTATCTTGCGTTCAACAACAAGACACGCACTGCGGTCCGTATTTTTCAGACGTTAACATGCGACCGAGATGGCCGTCTTATTGTCGGCGGAGATGTCTTTGGAGGCTACGTGTTGTCGGAGCAGATATCATTGCATCAGACGTTGGTGTTTTACTTTGGATCACACATAGTATCCTCAGATGAACTGAAAGCGAAAGGAATTGTGAAAGCCAATAACAAGCCTGCAACCGTTCGTGAATCCGCGACCCACACTTTGTTAAAACTAGCCAAGATGATCCCAAAAGTTGGTGATATCGCGATCCGTAGGCGTCTGGGTGTCGAGCGCACCGTCGATCCGGCTAATAACGTCAGCGAAAGAAGCTGCTTTGGTTGTGGAAAGCTCGTGAAGGAGTCGCTGTTGCGAAAGAAGCACATCTGCGATCTATGTGGCCACCACACTTGTGGCTCTTGCTCCAAGTCGCAGGATGTTGAAGAGCAGATTGGGCTTATCAAGCGTCTACGAGTTTGCTGCATGTGCGTCGCAGCTGCACGACATCGGATTTTTGGTTCCATTGATCAGCTTGACGAGGGACTGGTGCGTCTGTCGCGCCCTAGCTTAGATGCGAGTGCTTTGAGCACTGCTTCGTCGAGCTGCACCGCTTCAACATTACGATCGAGTAGACGGACGCGTATGCTGCATAAGATGACACAAGAGATGTCGTAGGCGGCACTTGACCATTATCTATCGACTGATGTAAGTAAGTGGTATATATCTAACAAACAAAACCAACAAGTGCATTGAACATGCTACACGTGATTGAGAAAGAGAGCAGTACATTCGGTCCTACTGTAGAATATGCTAATGCTAACATGTTTGAAAACAAAGAGCTTCAACCGCTCCTTATTGTGCAGTCGGAACTTCGACCCATACAAGAGAAGTGGCCACTAGCGCGTACGCGGTGAGAAGCATCGAGCCCTCGAGCCAATTGGACTTGCCGTCAGCAATAATGGCGTAGACGATAATGATTGACATGAGATAGATGAGAATTTCGAATTGAGGAAACGCCAGCGACATGGCGCGGTCCATGAACCAGCCAGAGATCACAACAACGGGAACCACAAAGAGCGACACCTGCGTCGCTGATCCCACTGCAACGCCCATTGCAAGCTCCATCTTGTTGTTCAGCGCCACCTTGACGGCCGTCACGTGCTCCACAGCGTTCCCCACAACTGGCAACAAAATAATGCCAATAAATGACTTACTCAAATGCATTTGAGCGGCAAAACCGTCAATGGAATCAACGAGAAACTCGGAAAACATGGCTACGAGAAGGGTTGCCACAAGCAACACTGTCGCACTGGCTCGCTTAGACAGCGCCACAGTTTCCTCGGATTCGCTATTTTCGCCCTCGAAATAGTCAGCGTGCGTCTTGAGCTGGAAGAAGAGTAGCTGCATGTACATGAAGAGCAAAAAGGCTGCAGCAATGCGCGAGAGGATGAGTGTGTTAGCAACACGGATTTCTTCCGTGTCGTGGTCCGAGAAGTAGAAGATGTAGCTGGGTAGCAGCATTGCGAAGCTGGCTAGCATGAGAAGCGATGAGTTGGCGCTAGCACCAACAGCGTTAAACGAGCTCTCCTTGTTTCGTAAGCCGCCGGCAATGAAAGCGCAGCCCAGCACAAGCAGCAAATTAGACAACACTGAACCAATAAGAGAGCTCTGTACCACGTTGATCTCACCCGCTTGCAGTGCAAAGATAGCAACAATAACTTCCACAGCGTTGCCGAATGTGGCATTCACAAGTCCACCAATTGTCTCGCCTGTATGAAAGGCAAGTGACTCAGTGGATTCGCCCAAGAGGTTGGCGAGCGGAATCATGACAACAAAGTTAAAGATAAAGACCCAAAGGTCACTCCAACCGCCAAATGACGCCCAAATAGCCAGTGGTGCTGCAAGCAGCAAAAGATTAAGCGGCTGCTCCTTGATCATTGCATAAATGGCTTGCGCGTCCTCCTTAACTGTGAGCGGTGCGTTGTTAGCTTCAATATCAGACGCTCCCGTCTGGTACTTGGTACTACCATTGGTGTGGCCGTTGCTGCCGTCGTGGCTATTGCTAGGAAGCAACGACGAGTGCTCGCTCGGGAATTTGCGCACGCGAGAGGTACCGCCTTCATTGTCTAACGTGCGGGAGCGCCGGATGGACGCAAGGGCTTGCGCCGTGTGCATCTCTTTTATCAAGTCGTTGATAGCTTTGAGCTTGTTTAGTTGTGTGACTTGTTCAACGTCGCCAACAAAAATGGTCTTTCTCGCAAGGCTTTGTAGATCTAAACCGTTATGGCCTAGGGTCGGATCCTGAATATACTTGTGCTTTGTATACTACAATCGTTCCGCCTTCAAGGCGAGATATTTCCCATTCAAAATGCGCGTATTATACGCAGCTGTAGCGCTATAATTGATCATAAAGTAAAGCGTAAAAATAGTCCAATGCTTTTTAGCCAAGAAAATAAAACAGAGTAAAAATAAAACAAATGGCAGTCGTAAAATTGTAAGCCAACAAAATCCATTAACATCAGATGCAAGTGACCTAGAGCCTATGTTTACCATATTCAACGGACATGAAGCAGTAAAAAAGTATGAATTAGACCTCCAATCAGATTTCTTACATGCAATTAACAGTACTTGCATATTAATATGCATCCTCCTACTATCTTCACACACATAATGTTTGGAGAAATCAAACGCCTTTAAATGCACGAAAAGTCTTGCTGCTTTTTCAATTTTGATGTCACCCGGATTGTCTCGCCGATTCAGAATCTACTTTTACAAAGCGCATGATACAAGATTGTGACCACAGCCCTATTCTATATCTTATAACGTTGCAGCGGTGTCATGAGTTGTAAGACAGAGTAAAAGTCTTGACGAGTGTTGGTCAGATATACGAGGGCATTCGCATGTCGTCATTGGACTTGTTTGGCGTCAATGAGTTTGGCGACTTTTATTCGAATGAAAGTCACCTAGGCTTGCAAGCTTTCGGTGACGAAGTAAGTAAGTGTGCTGTCGACGGACGCAGCAACAAGGTTTGCTGTTACAGCCGACTTGGCTTTAGGAAACGGAAATACTCGTCAACATCCAACCAAGGTTTAGATCATGTCAGAAAACAATAAAAGGAACTAGTACGGACGTTGCGAAACGTTGCTTTTTGAATTCAAGCATTACGACAGGCCAACGACCATTAGCAATGTGGAGTTAGAACGTCCTTGAAGTCAAGACCAGTCATTGTTCTGTTTGTACTTTCCGTCAGCCTCTCCGCGGTTACTACTTGAGATGTAAGTAACAGGGGACTCTTCGCGGAGGACGACGACTCTTTGCAGGGAACGACTCTTTCGATGGCACAGCGACTTTTTGCAGGAAACGACTCTTTCGATGGCACAACGACTCTTTGGATGGCGCCACGACTCTTGCGGTATTTACCGCGAACAGTTCGAGACATTTGCTTGCATTTTGCTTACGTATGTGTGCCTACAAGAAAGCAGATCACTCGGAATAATACCAACATTCTTACGAAACACCAGGGAAACTGACCTCGCGGACTAAACTTGCCACTGAACTTTTTGCTCTGATTGGTTAGAATAATGAGGGACACAACTTACCCCACTCTTTTCCTAGTCACAAGCACTCTCCACCACGTCTTTCCTAGTGAGCGCAAGCTCAGCATCAGGTCCTAAGGTGTTTCCAGCAGTAAGTGCAGGGTGGCGGTAGCATCGACGATCCACGGCTTTAATTACTTCTTTTCTAGTCGATTTAGTTGTGTCTGACGACAGAAATACCTCCAAACATTTAGTCGTCTATAGACCGTCGACCTTAACAAGCATGTTGCATCCGACCAATGCGTTTCGAGACTTGGATTCAATTAAACAGAAAGTTGCTGGTAATACGATTGTTGAATAAGGGGAGAAATGTGGTTTTTAAACCAATGATTCGATACTTTTGCTCATCGATTGTTACATGCGAGAAATGTTTTAATGGAATCTCATGCTATTTGTTCAATGTTGATACAGGCAAGCGTCTCGTTGTATTTCTAGACTATGATGGCACCTTGTCACCTATTGTAGACGTACCTGACCATGCGTTCATGGCGGACGACATGCGCACTACTCTCAGTGATCTTTCATCTAAATTCGTCACGGCAATTGTCACGGGTCGCTCGACGGAGAAGGTCTACAACTTTGTCCAGTTGGACAACCTTGTTTATGCTGGCAGCCATGGATTTGATATTAAGGGTACCAAAACGCGCCCTATCAATTGCCAGGTGGCTGACCAGTTTCGTCCCGATCTTGAGCAGGCGCTGCGTGACTTGACAACGCAGACGGCGCACATCGCTGGCGCGGAGCTGGAAGACAACGGACTAGCCTTGTCGATTCATTATCGCCACGTGAGTGCTATATGAGGGAGAAAGTTGGGATTGGTGTTGTACCTATTTCGGTTGTACTCTGTCTCTCCATCGGCCAAAGCCAACACAATTGTCTGTCTTGTGCTTCACCCCTGGTCAGGTTGATCTGGCACTGCAAAATGCCGTTGAGCAGATTGTGGACGACTATGTGGCGTATCACCCGAGTCTTATTAAGAAAATGGGCAAGATGGTGTTTGAACTGCGACCTCGAGTATGCTTTAGTTTAATCCATAGCATCGACGTTAATATGGCGTCTCACCTTTGTATGTAATGAATTAGGTTGATTGGGACAAGGGTCGCGCTGTCATGTACATCTTGTCCGAGCTGGGACTGGATGCAGAGGATGTCGTGCCTTTCTACTTGGGCGATGACGTAAGCGATGAGGACGCTTTTAATGCGTTGAATGGCCGTGGGATCGGTCAGGGCATTTCGATCATCGTGCGAGACCCCGAGGCGACAAAAATCGACCTTCCAGGAAACTTGAAGGAGCTGCCGATGACGAAAGCGTCGTACTCTCTTCGCGACACGGCAGAAGTGCAGCAGTTTTTGACAGAGTTGGCGAGATTGGAATATGCGTGCTAAACTACCTAGTCCTCGGGCATGCAGCAGCCATAGAAGATAAGAGAGCTGATATGAAGACGCCGATGACTCTTTTGCTTGACATTTCTACTCATAATTAAACGCTATTTGCGCATACCGGTATCGATTTTGTTTCAGACCGTTGCATATTTTCCTATTTTCTTGCGTTGAATATTGAACAGCGGGTGATGCTGTCTAAATGTCTATATTTAGAGCTAAATATCGATTCTTAGACATCCGAACTATATTTTGCGGCTGAAAATTGCTGTCAGATTAAGCGTTGCCAATACCGTCATCATGTCTATGCGTGGGTGGCTCCGAGCGTCTACATGCACCGCTGTTGTAAGCTCTACCAAGCGTGCAGCTATCCCTATATCCTATCGCTTCTTTTCGGAGGTATCAAAAGATGATGAGATCACTAAGGCTGCAGCCGCTGCTGCTGAGGAGACCCTTATGACGAAGTTACGTGACCAGCAGATCGCCAAAGCCGAGCGTACCAGTGCGTTTGTATTGCATAGTCGTGCTATATTCATGTAAACAGTAAGGAGTATTTAACCTGATGAATGTCTGCTTATGTGCTATAGTTTTGCCATTCCACGCAACGGAAGCATGTTTTCCGAACATTGAAAAGTCGCCGATGCCATATCCGGAAGAGACCGCCATCGTGTCAGGTACTAGCGAATGGTCTGTGGGACGCAAGGCCAGGCTCTTTAAGCCAGCACGCAATCAGATGCAGAGCGGTAATTACCAGACCAGACACTGGGAAATTCGGTTCGAATCTCCACGTACGTGGAAAAACCCTCTCATGGGCTGGACAAGCACGGCTGATCCATACGTGGGCTTGGTGACCAAGTTTGACACCAAGGAAGAAGCTGAGCGCTTCGCCAAGAAGCAGGGATGGGAGCTTGAAGTGTGCGAACCTGCCCCGGCTGGCGACTACAACGGCAAAATTTCATACTCGCACAATTTTCTGCCGGAAAACATTGAGACACTCATTAAGCATAAGGGCAAGAAGTCAGCAATGCAATTCAAGCACCCGACTGGCCGTCGTAGCAATTGGGTGAAGACGCTTAAGTATCACGGTGACGGCGCCGTGGCGCAGCATGGCGGCGAGGCTAAGGAGTAAATTACGCATGTAGCATTGTCCGACTGACAGCCAGCACTTGATGTTAATAAGCAGCCCGACGGAAACCCATAAGATGGCACATTGTGTCTTTTCCACCAAATACTTGGTTTTGATGCATCACAAACACATAGTAACAAACGGACCAAAGTCCAACGAACTTATGCAGTACAAACCGATACACAACAATGCTATTTAGCGTTCACTTTCAAGTTCTAACGCCAACATTGTAAACGTCATCGTCCTATGTTAGACCGACACGTGTGACGGCTGGGCCATGGTAGCGGTGGACATTCCATGTGCGGGGATCTGGGCCTCCTTCTGGTTATAACGAAGCTCCGGCATGGCCTCCAGATCTGCCTCTTCCTGCTCTTGAGCCGAGGTAGCGGCAACGCCAGTCGGCTGCATCATAGCGGCCTTGTATGCAGGGTGCTGAAGATAAAACAGCAACATGAAGCAACAGACGCCATTAGACATTCAAGATCCTGTCAGAAGATCCTTTACGAGTCACACGTACCCTGTTGATGAGGAAAAAGTTAAACAGAGCCAAAAAGAAGAAGCATATGCCGATTATCCAGCCGATCCAGCCCTGAGAGACAGCGAGAAACGCGATACTAGACAATGACAACAGTTCAACACAAAATCCCGCATCACAAACATTTACGCAAACATTTTCAGCTTGCAAAATACGTACCAGAGAATATAAGACGCCTTGCCTGTGGCCGAGAACATGAACCCAAAGTTAATCTTGACGCGGTTCGCAACCGATGGGAACCGCTCATGATTTTCAACAAAGGCGAGTCCTGCACTTAGAAACCTAAATGTATCATAGAAAATAGAAAACACATATTAATAGCCAATCACAACGACATTGGCAAGATAGAAGGTAACATACATGATGTAGATGATAACGAGGAAGTGCGAGTAGCTGGGCACTTGAAACATTCGGATGAAGCACGTGACCCAGAGACCAGCGGAAAACACGATATTCACCAGTCGCATATAGCCATTAATGCGTGAAATATCAGTGCTGGAGATGCGGCGCTCCAGCTCATCGGTGCGTTCCTTTATCGCAGTAGGCACTTGCACTTGAGAAATCTGCGACTTAAACTGCGTTGAGAGCTGGCGCAACATTTCCGTCGCAGGGAAAGTCGTTGAGCTTCCAGTATAAGCGTCTCCTCCTGCTTCAGCGACAGGGATGGAAGCCGCAGTCGAGGTCGCTGCGGCTGTGGAAACGGACGGTTGCATCATGATGGGCGTGTTCTTCCTTTCTTTGATTATCAATGATAAAGAGAGACGAGCTGCTTTGAGAAATGATAGTGATTTGTTTTTAGTTATAATCCAGTTTCTTTATTAAGAAAGTTACCTCATTAATTTAATTAAAAAATAATAATTATTAATATTTCCAGTTTCTAAACGATTATTGGTCTACAGAATATTAGTCTGAGCAGTCGAGAGTTCATGGGAACAACAACCAGTGTATTTTTTATTGATGGTCGCCATTGTCACGTCTTTTGTGATCTGTATCATTTGCTGCAGATAAAAAGCATTGTTTATTCGTTCTTGACAGTAATACTTTTGGTAACGCTGAGTCTTTGCTCTTGTTTGAAAGTAGGGTGTATTGGTGTTCCTGCAGCGTTTGCTTAAAGGAGGTGAATACGTCCTTGCAGATGCAAGCACCTACTGTGAGTGTTGAATGGTTGTCATGCAGTCTAATAGTAGATATGTTGAATTTCTTACAGTAAAGCTGCTGTATCTCGGCTAAATCTACCATATTTAGCCGCACATGCAATCGAAGAGTGTCCTCTACTTCTTTCAATTGGAATTACAAACTTGATGCTGCCCTAGCAGTTGTTACAAAAAAAATAGAGCAAGTGGTCACCACCACAGATCTGCTCGCTTGCTCGCAAAACTTGCCTGCATGTTGATTACATTGTGCGGCTTATGAGCCCATGAGGAGGCCTTAATTGCTGTCCGGTGTGTATCACGTCATACAAAATGTTTTTCAAATGACTTTAGAAGAGACCTCCTCCTCAACGGAACCATTGCCTACGCGCAATAGCCCGCGCGATTGCCGTTATGAGTTTTCCACAAATGAGCTAATTTCCATACAAATGCAAGTCGTCGGACATGCTAACCTGTTTGCAACGTACGTGCGGCATGCATGACAAGAAGGCCCTGGGATAAGCCTGATGTCAAGGGTAGCGGTTGTTTGCTAGACTTGGCCCATGCTTGCTAGACTTGGCACCATGCTTGCTAGAATGTTCCATTTCCAGTCTTTGACTGGTAAGGCATCGAGATGTTGAAAGCGTATACGACAAGAGTATGGCTTCATCGTAGACGCACGAAGAAAGCAGGTGTCGATTGTCCTGGTCTCACGCGTACTATATGGTATTATCGCAACTGTTTGTACACACCCATTTAACGTGGTCAAGAATACGGCGGCAACTGGTCGCATATTCCCAAAAATATGGCTCCGTGTCGTCGTTCATGCAGCTGCTTCGACATATATGACTATCTTTGTAGGGGTTTGGGAGGATAACTGCTGGACTTGTATCACATATAGGTCGTGCGTGCATGCGCTATCATGACATTGTCGTACGATGCAGTCAAGCTCGCGTCAACGCTGACTAAGATCAAACTGCAATGCATCTTGAACTCATGGATGTACTGGTGGTCACATGAGGCTTATGCAGTTATTATATAGCGTTGGCTTTGTTTTTATGGAAGGGGTCAACCAATGGAAGCCGCAATTATTTTCATTCAAGGAAGTCGCCCTGCAGGGTGCACGGTCGACGCGTAGATACAGTCCCGATACTGACGCGAAGTTAGACTTGTGGCTAGGGAGATAGCCTCGCCACAGATCCAGCATCATCATCCATTTCAGTCAAGACTAGGCACGCCAGGTGAAAAGGAGGTGGTCTTCATCGTCGCTAAATCAGGATGCATATAGAATTCTTTCTACGCAACAGGCCTTCGTCCATTAACTTCAATGATAGCTTCTGTCGTCCACATTCTTAACCTGCTAGCTAATGCACCTAGGGTCGGTAGCCATACGTCGACTGCCGATTTGTACCACAAACTGAAGGTAATAAAAAGGTTGCGGCTTTCTAACGCTGACTCTATTCCTGTGACAACGTATACCTTTGAAATGGCTTCTCCCTACAAGCTTTATCATCCCATACTGCGTTAGCTTGAGGCTCCCTGTTACTAAATGGTCCCGAATAATCAAGAGGAATGGCATGTAACAAGTCTCGACGACGAGGTTCAATTGGCAATTAACTCGGTGCCTGAAACAATTCAGACCTTTGATTGATAATATTTTTCGAGTAATGACACAGAATGACCAACAACAACTACACCAACAAGATACAGAAAAACAGCAAAAAACGTTCAATGCCTCGTCCAGCGAGGTCTCCACGTGCCCGACCGGCACAAATTGGTCTGCCGAGCCTATGCCGAAAGATGAAGATGAGTCCGTGCGATCACTAAGCTCTACCTGTCTTTCGTTTGCTTCACGGCGACTAAGGAGGAGACGACTGCTCAGTTCACACGCCCGATTGCCACTTATCTCTGTCACGTCGCTTTACAACCGCTTACAGACCTCCGGAGTCGTGCTTGTGGATTGCCGCAAGAGTCTCGAATTCTCATCAAGTCATCTCCCGGATGCGCTGCATTGCCCCCATTTGTACACGGGATCGCATTTATCAGCACTAGGTTGTGCTGGACACATGACAAAGACAGTGGATGACGTACTAGAGCTTACGGACAATGAAAAGCTGCGCGAGAAATTAATAAGAAGAGACCTTATTGAAGTGGTGGTCATTGGAGGTAACCACACAAGTGCGTCTTTCCTGTACCGAATGGACTGGGGCTACCGTTTTGCTAAAATGCTTATGGAAGAGGGACGTGTTTATTCAGTACGGTTCCTGGCACAGGGATTCCCGGCCTTTGTCAAAAAGTACAAGTTCATGTTAGTGTCATCTCCTACGGTAACACGTTCGAAAGAAGATTCCATCAATCGTGAAGAATTGCCATATTCTCCGATGGTTTGTAGCCCTACGTCGATGATGCATTTTCCGAACGAAATTGTGGACGGTTTTCTCTACTTGGGCAACTTTTGGCAAGCCAATTCGCCCGAGGTTATTGCGTCCTTGCAGATCACGCATATAGTAAACATGGGTGCAATCACTGATCACCGCAATAAGTTTGAGCACGTCAAATACTTTGATGTTGCAATCAAGGATAACGTGGACGTGGACATTACACAAGAATTTGGTCCATCTATTGAGTTTATTGAGAAAGCGGCAGAGGGTAACGGACGTGTGCTTATCCACTGCGTCCAAGGAGTCTCGCGCTCGTCTACGATCTGCATCTGGTATGTGATGCTCAAAACTAAGTGTACGCTGTCGGCTGCCTACAGTCACGTGCTCAAATGCCGTCCCCTGATTTTCCCTAACCGAGGCTTCATGGCGCAACTAATTGCCAACGAGCGACAGCTATATGGTGACCAAAGCGTCATTGAAGATGAATTGGAGCTGCTTCAAAACGGTCTCTTGCCGCCCGTCGATCGTAGCGGCTCGGCGCTGTGTGAGACTTTTCTTCCATAACCAATTCATGGAGTTGTCAAAGTCAACTGCCGTTAATAACCATTTACTATTGCTTCACAAACTTAATGCAGACGTCGCCATACGATTGGCCACTTTTATTTTTGTTATGCACGTAACTGCAAGAAACCAATGTACAGATAACCGTCTACGTAGTGTGCGTTGGTGGCCTATCTATGGATAGCTAACGGATCAATGACATTAACTAGCCGTTCATAACTTAGACTGTAGACAATAGCACTAGACTTTTACTTTTGCTGGTTATAATTACGTTATTTTGCGTGATAGAAAGACACATTCACTTTGCCTTTTTCTTGTTAATCAGGGTTAGGAACGTCAAGCGTGGCTATCAGCGATTTTACTTGAGATCCGTCTGAATACCATTGGCTTGCGCCATCCGTTGTCTTTGTGCTGCTTAGCATTGATATATAACTTACTGGTTGTGACGCACAACAAGCAGCACAAGTCTAAATTTTTCCAGATGCGGTATCAGCAATCAGATCTAGTGTCGCGGGATGCGGGGATGGAAAGGAAAAACAGCAGGACAGAGTAAGAAAAGTACACTGTCAAATCTGTCATTTTGACTTAGCTTACTTCAAGCTGCAAAATATTGTAACGATATTACAGTGCTCATGTATCCGTCCACACGGCAAGGCTAGATCCGAATTGTATACATTGCCTGATTAAGCAGCCTGCAGCAGTCTGTAACAGGGCTTCTCTTCTAAAGCCATGTAAACGAACATTCGAGACCTAGAGAACGGCCCTTGGAACCTTTAAATGCTGCACAAGAATCTCAAATGTCGGTATATTCCTACCTTGACCAGTCAGGAAGTCCAAAGCGCTTGTGCCTCTGATTGTGCGCGAGCGCCGCGTGTACACCGACTGAACAGCATAATGCTGCCATTGCGGCTTTAGACGAAATGCAGCTGCGAAACATAGGTGGTATAAATGGCAACATTTCACTGGCTGTCTTCCTTTGGCAAAAGGGCTTCATATCGAAGAAGCTGTGCTTAAATTGCAGTATTTGGTGCCCTGCTGCCCGTTGTGAAGTCTGTGAGGACCACAACAATCAAATTGGACTGACCGAATCCAAGGCGTTACCAAGGAAAGCAGTCTGGAACTGCTCGTTCACAGTATGTGCTTGCTACGTGTGGTTCTCATGGCTGTTACGGACACTCTAAGTTTAATGGATCATGAATCCTCGAGGTCCGATGTTATGGGGATGAAGACCACTTTGTGTCGAAAGAAGCGATTCGGCCTGTCGCATAGTGCGTTACATGTAGTCCGTGTGCCGATTGACACGTCACTGAAGTATACCTGCAGCACCACCGTTTGTAAAACTTTTGGTTGTCTGTCATGTATCAAAAAGTAAACTTTAGTCCAGAGTAAAACTACCAAGCTACTTATTGAATTCAAAGGCATGCATGACATATATGTGTTGCATTGTCTAGTTGTCACTGAAGATATTCATATCATTTATCACATGTGCTCCAAGCAAACAGAGTACGTACATTACTGATGCTTACAGGATATGGAGGCATAGGCCCATTTGCAGCGACTATAGGCGCTCGTGACGTTGTCGTGCCCTTGGTGACAGGGGTTCGTGTGCAGGCTACCCCTTAAGATTGTCTGCGCTTCAATCTTGGCAATGCCGAGATGAAATTAATCTTCATATTCTTGGTTACATAAGTACAACAAGGTAGATTTTTGAGGCGTTCGTGTTGTGTGGTGGCTCAGGACTCGAGACTCTGTCTGATGGAGCATATTTTGCAGTGGCATGCGTGCTACTGCAAAATACACCATCGTCTGGTGGTGGTGTTTTTTCAAAATGCGGTGATACGCGGTACTCAATAGTCGTTTCAAAGAGGTAGTTGGTTTTACACACTTTGATGAAGCACTGTATTTCCGACGTGATGAAGAATGCGCCTACGTCATCACATTGGCACCCACTTGGAAATCATGTGACAACGGTCTGGACACAGCAGCGTACGCTCCCAGGTCCCTCGACTGCCTTATTCTTCGTTTACTGAACCCATAGCTCAGGGTATCTTCTTATGTTTACTCCATTTGTCTTTGCGTCAACCTCGAAGTAAAAACATGCACGAACGAATGGTCTAGAAGCCACGATCTGTGATAAAATCCATGTGTTTACTACCAAGAACCACTGTATCCACGGCCTTTCTTCCAGATAATTCACTGTCGCCATCGACGTACTCATCGTGGTTCAAGATGATTGGCAAAATGCAGATGCAAAATCAAGCTGTTTAATGACGTTTGAACGTAGCTGAAATTTGTGTAGCCGAGCTACTGTAGCTACGCTACTTGTGCACTATGTGCAGAAGAAGTTGTCAGACTACTGTAGCAAAGCTACGTATGCACTAAGTGCGGAGGAAGACAAGGTCAGAGAGCTTCTACGTCTTAGGGTGTTTAACCCTCCTAGGCTAGCTCGTAAGCTTGTGCCTATCGGTATTAACAACCGAGTCTCAGAGAGACTAGTATCAAAGATACTGACTCCTTAGAATGAATAGAACGCTCAAGCAGTGATGCTTATAGAGCAGGTTTGAAACTGATTTATATTTATGTTTATCTTCTAACACTAAATATCGAAGCACCTATCCTATACTTAGTGCTAGTCACTATCACTGGCTCTTTAGCCTTTTATTATTATGCAAACATGCATAGTCACTATACTTTAAATAAGTATAGTGACCACGTGGCTCTCTGCCACGATGTGACCCTTCGTACCTCAGGTACGGTCACATCACCTACTTTTGTACCCAAGGTACAGCTACACCACATTGGGGTGGCAGGTGTGTATGTAAATTACACACCTTCGTGTAACCTCATTACACCCTCTCCCAACAATCCGTGGGATGCTCTGGGAGTGGTCAGTGATGCCCCAAGAGCTGTCTAACGCACCTGCAATGTTTAATCGTTTATTGACGCAGTTGTTTCGGCCCCATAGGGCGTATGCACAGACATACTTTGACGATATATTCGTTCATAGTCGAGCCGAAAATGACAAGACTGATGTGGAGAACCACATCGAGCACTTGCGAGCTGCTCGACTGCATGAAGATGCATAAGCTGTATGCCAATACTGACAAATGCATCTTCGGTGCGGAAGAGATTCCCTTTTTGGGATGCTTCATTGGAAAGCGAGGAATTTGGGCAGACCCTGTCAAGATCAAAGCCATAGTGGATTGACCGGTTTCAAGGAATCAGAAAGACCTACGCAAGTGGTTAAGTTTGGCAAATTACTTGCACAAGTATAGCCACAACTATGCGGAAATGGTTGGGCCATTATCAAATCTCCTTAAAAAGGATGTAGCATGGTGTTTGAACACCGAACACCACGAGGATTTTGACGCAAATAAGGAGAGTCTCCTACAGGCGCCAATTCTGGCCCTGCCTGATCCTGATCTCCCGTTTAGCGTCGTATGTGACATTTCGGACTTTACCATTGGCAGTACACTTTTGCAAGTTGACTCTGAGGGTCGAGAACGCATCATCGCGTTTGAGTCTCGTCAGCTGAAAGCTGCAGAGAAGAACTATCCAGTTCATGACAAGGAGCTATTTGCGATGAAGTATGCCCTTGTTAAGTTCAGGGTACACCTGTTGGGATAAAAGCCGTTTGTGATCTATACCGATCATGCGTCGTTACGCACAGCGACACAGTCGCTTCATCTTTCGCAGAAAATGGCTCGTTGGCTCTCCTTTTTCGCGGAGTATAACTTCGAGTGAAGTATAAGCCGGAAAACAGAATGTTTTGGCAGACGCGTTATCGCGTAGACCTGACTATGAGCTTGCTCATTTCAATGTTGTGAATTTTTCAGTGACGGATCATATCCGTGTGACGTATGCTCTTGATGAGGCATGTGTTGCCATTCTGCAGGCGCTGGGTAGCGCAGAATTAGAAAACTCCAAGGTGAAGTTGTCACCACTTAATCGTGCGAGATTACATCGTTATGCACTGATTGATGGTCTGTTGTACTATAGTTTAGGGTTGGATGACCAGCCTCCGGTTGTGGTACCTCATGATGAGGAGTTAAGTATCAGATACTTGCCGAGGCTCATGATACACCACTTGGTGGTCATTTAGGTCGTGAGAAGACCTACATCTCGGTGAGCACGCATTATTGGTGGCCCAAGTTGTACAAATGGGTTGGCACCTACGTACGCACATGTAAAACGTGTCAAAGGGTGAAACCCTCGCCTAATATGGCTGCGCCATTGGCGAGTTTGCCTGTACCCTCGGGGTTGTGGCAGTCCGTTAGTATGGACTTTGTTTTTGGCCTACCGCGTGATGCGGCAGGCAACACTGGGATTGTGGTCTTTGTTGACCGATTGAGCAAGATGGCTTACTTAGCGGCAGTGCCGGACTCTATTGATGGAGAAGGAACAGCAAAGATGTTCATGGATCGTGTGTTTCGACAACCCGGATTGCCTGTGGCAATCGTCTTGGATAGAGACCCCCGTTTTACGGGTAAGTTTTGAACGTCAGTCTTTAAGTGCTGGGCACTCGACTGGACATGTCCACGGCGGATCATCCGCAGACCGATGGTCAGACAGAACGCGTCAATCGCGTTATTGGTGATATGCTTTGCAGTATTTTTGTTGAAACACCCAAGCAATGGAGCAAGATGCTCCCTCTCATAGAGTTTGCGTTGAACAACGCGGTGCATGCCTCGACAGGCTTCACCCCATTCTGTGTGAATGGTTTGGTTAACCCTAGCGTTCCTTTAACGCTACCCCCTGCCACATCAGGGCTTAGTGGGGGGAGATATAGCCAAAGGCTTGGCTGATATCAGCCCTGTTGCGATGCGCAAGAAGGTTGAAGCGTTTCTGTTAACGGGTTTTGACTATTTCGTCGCGTCAAAGACGTTCTGGCTGAAGGCCAGGATGTTCAGAAGAAACATGCGGATGCCAAAGGCAGGAAAAAAGAACATGAGTTCGAAGTGGGAGACTTGGTTTTATTAAACGCTAGGAATTTACCTACCCGT